TAGCCGTCCGGGAACATAATATACCGTACTACTATTACTGGTTGATACTACACTCTTTTTAATAATTTAGTAGCAAAAAGTAGATAACAGCCAAACCCTTCATATTTTTAATGTTCAATAAGCACTACCGCTCAGGTGGGCGATAAAGTACTAATTCGATGGCAATATCAACTCTTTACCAACAGATTGATACGTTCTAATTACACCCTATGAAAGATCTATGGCCTATGGGCTACTAAGTTCAAACTCCGATCAGCGTTGATCCGTTCTTGTAATTAATAATGACCGTGGGAAAAGCTTTCAAGGATTCCATCGGAACCTAATGGACCTGTTTTTTACCAGACCGAAGGTTTACAACACATTATCGGATTGAAAATAAGTCGGAAATAATTAATTTCTTGTCTTTTCGGAGAATTGAAGAAATTGCATTTTGGTTTTTTTTTTTTTTTTCGTGCCATCTATACGTTCTAGAGCTATATTTTCAGCAAAATTATTACTAAATCGTATACATTTACTGTTTTGCAGTGATCAAAGTCTTTTATCCAAACACCCTAAGCAATTACTTCACATAGTTGAATCTACGGCGAACCTCATCGATTGATGCTGAATCTTATGTATCAATTAAAAAAAAATAAGCTTAATGTATGTGTATAATATCTAAAATAATAAAATAATTTATTCTCACCTAAAAGAAATATTGTATGGCTAGTTAAAATTCATGGCAATTTATTTCCCACATGTTGTGTTTGTTGTAGTATATTCGAATGTAAAAAAGCGTTTTTGTAATACAAAACCTTTTGAAAGAACACTGCAATACCCGGAACATTTCCCTTGAGCAGCATTAAGGTTCCGGTACAGGAGTGGGTCATTTGACTCAATCTCTAGAAATTAGGCAAAGAAGGTCGATCCGCCAAAGATTCGAATTAAAACAATTTATCGTTAGTTTTTTTGTTTTTAATTGGCATCAAATTTCGAAAACATCATACTCGTATAGCAAATCTCAACACCAATTTTGAAACGCGTGACTGCGTCGCGGTATAATTAAGCAGGACAGTGGTATCTAACTGTTCGGGCTCACCAAGCACCAACTACAAACACTAATTTATTTAGACTTCAATAATCAAACAGTACACATAATATAAATCAGTATATTCGACACAAAGTAAAGAAGTAATGCTTCATTTTAAGGAAATTTTCCTTTTACTGATATTTTTAGTTTGAATGAGTTAATAATTATTAAAGCTCACCAAAATTTAAGCTCGCATCAACCACTACGACTAGTGTTTGTTCATGAAGTATAGTGTTTTCGACTCATTACTTGTAGAAATCGTTATTTCCACGAGCTGCGGTGGTCGCCTTCTCTAGATAAATGTTGCAGTTAATATCCTTTCCGTACTACTAAAACACTTTTATTTTTATCGCTATATAGACGTTTCCAATACTTTTCCTAAGAAATTTCATCAAGGAAGTAATTTCATCCACGGCGTCCAATATTTTTTTATAATTATTGTCAAGATTGCATTACGTTCATGTTACGGATGCACTTGAAATGAAGCCTATCCAATATATGCATTAGGGTTGTATCTGATGATAAAATGAAATCCCGTTGTTTTCTGTTACGAAACTTTATTTTATATTTGTACAATAATTTGTTTAGATATGTTTAGTTTTGTATTTTTGATAAATTAAATGAAGTACATATGTAAAAAAAGAAAAAAATTACTTTAAATTGAATGAAGTAGGTAGGTAAAGAAGCGGGGAATTTCCTCTTAAAAATTTTAAGAGATTAAATTATTATTTAAATTACAGAGTAGTTAGCTTTATATAGATCATAGACGACACGCAGACACGGCAAAGGCATTTACAAGGCTGCTTCATTACCAGGAGTACAGAAGTTTCGGCTGACCGATCGCCTTTAATGTTCCAAAGGAAAGGTGAGACCAAAAAATACTTTGAGTTTCCCAAACGTAATCACAGCAAATTTAAATCTACTACGGATCTCACGTTACAGGTCTACTCGTGTAAGCGCATCACTATTCCTAAGCTTCTTCACTATTATAGCTTCACTATGCATTGGCCAACAACACTACCTGATAATCAAATCAGAACTAACCCAAAAAATAATTCTTGACTTGACTTAAATTCTGTTCTAGTTAGCCAAAATCATTTTTGTAAGAATAACATAAGAGTCCTCTATCTTCAGTTAATTCGGTTTCGTTAAGCAAGAAAACTTGTTCTATATGCAGTCTGTCGTCGTGCCGAACGCACCCGCGCCATTCACAACCTACTTCAAGTTGGTCAACTAATCCAAGTTTTCCTTTACTGGCTAATGAGACGAGTTTGATTCGGATTCCCGAAGCGCTTCGGAATACTCTGCTTGAAATGGCTCTTACTTTGGATTACCATTTACGTGTTTTCATAAAAAAAAAGCGAATTCATCATCAAATCAGTGACACGATTATGATTTGTCCAGTTTTCAATTAAAATAAATTATAATTTAGCGATTACATTTTCTGTCTCGATTCAGTAATCGTAGGTTCACATTTTGGACTTCTTTGTCAAATTGACAAATATAAAATCACAGTGATTAATTTATTAATGATTATGATTGCTTAGTAATAAGATTACCTTGCCAAAACAATAGGTTTACGGCTATTATAGATTATACATAAAATATAATACTCATATTATCTTACGTAGGTAAGCACGGCTACATAGGTGCAAAGATTTGAGTTGGGTGTTAGTCAGGCAGCAAGCTAGGTTTTCCTTTTTTCGGGTTGCCTTTCTAAAAATATTAAAAAAATGTAATTTCGGTTCGATGAATGATACTATCAGGGTTCAAGTCGCCTTATTGATCGATGACTTCTGTTAAAATGTATCACTAAAAGAATAAGAAGGAATATGGATTGACTAAATACAGGTAGGGGGACTACACAATTTAGCAATAGACACTTGGTGTTCCTTTTTGCCATCGAGGAAAGCCGCTAGGAATGTTTTTTTTTAAATCTAATTATGATGTTGGCATAATTAAAGCTAGCTTTAATTTTAATGTGTCTCATCAATTCAACCAATTAGCTATAGCTTCGAATTGCCAAACAAGGTTGGAGTAAATTCGGTAATCACATTTGTTTTTGCACATCGTAAAGACGATGAAACTTGTAAAGGCATGAAGTTTTACCAATTATGAACATATTATTCAGAGAATTGTAAGTTACCGCAATAGCAGATTAATAAACACGACACAAGATCGGAGAAGATTAAGTTTGTCGCTCATTCTAGCCACAGGAGCCGAGCAAGAGAAAACACAAATAAAAGAGCATTTACCAAGCGATTAATATTCGACGGACTACGGCTTGGGTTCCCTGACCGCATCGTTTGTTTAACCTCTTCTGTCAATTTGATTTCCGACCTCGGGGGTATGTAATTTCCATTACGGAGGCCAGACGCTTTATTTATCTGCGCGCAGGCCAATAAGCTCGGCGAGATTGTCCGTTTCATCTAAGGAAATATTGTGCATATCTGGTTTCGCTTTCCGTAAAAACATTAAAGGAGATGAATGCTTCAGAAAATTGTTATTTTTTTTTCATGATAGAAATGATCATTGAATCGTAATTGTAAAAAATTCTCAACCTCCACGAAAAACATTACATGATTTTATCGCAGGGCTTTATTAACTATGAATAGATACTTCAATATATTTTATAGTTTACACGAAATTAATTCACTTAAGTGTTTTTAAATGTAAATGTACATCTGTGAAATCGTTCAATCAAATTATGGTGGACGTAATTCATTAAAACATCACATAATACCACACGATACAAGTTCGCTTTATCCTACTAGGATCCCGGCTATCTTCGTGTAAATTCTATTTAAGCAATATATTTATACTGATATATTTTACTGGTGGTAGGACCTCTTGTGAGTCCGCGCGGGTAGGTAACCCCGTCTATTTCTGCCGTGAAGCAGTAATGCGTTTCGGTTTGAAGGGTGGGGCAGCCGTTGTAACTATACTTGAGACCTTAGAACTTATATCTCAAGGTGGGTGGCGCATTTACGTCGTAGATGTCTGTCTATGGGCTCCAGTAACCACTTAACACCAGGTGGGCTGTGAGCTCGTCCACTCTTCTAAGCAATAAAAAAAATTATGTTATATGAAAATATGGCATGTCCAGTTCTACAATAAAAGCAAATATCTAAAACCCAATAATAGTGTCCACTGATCGGATGTTTTTTTATATTTTTATTGCTTAAATCGGTGGACCAGCTCACGGCCCCCTTGTGTTAAATAATCACCGGAGCCCATAGACAACAAGAACGTATATGTTGCCACCCACCTTAACACTAACTAACCTAAGACTTAAGTTCTAAATCTAAATCTCAGCTTTATAGTACAACGATTGTCCCGTCTTTCAAACCGAAATGCATCACTGCTTCACGGCAGACATAGGTAGGGTGGTATCTACCAGTGCAGGCTCATAAAATGCCCTGACAGTAAGGATGTATTTGTAAATGAAAAATACACAGGGACCCACTAAAATAGACACAAATATAAACAAAACCCCCTCAGCAATTTAGAAGAAGCTTAGTGACAAACAATCATACAAAAAAAACATATAGACTTCCTTTCTTCAAACGAGGCTTGTGGATCGTATTAAGCGGTAGGCAGCGGCTTGGCTCTGCCCCTGGCATTGCTGAAGTCCATGGGCGACGGTAACCACTCACCATCAGGTAGGCTATATGCTCGTCTGCCTACAAGGGCAATAAAAAAAATACAAAAATATTATATAGAAAGATATATTATTATGTGGAACATATTTTTTTTATTATTGTACTAGGCGAGTAGACGAGGTCAGCACTCACTGGGTATTGAGTGGTCACCAGATCTCACGGAAATAGCACCTTATTTACTAATTTCTGATACCTAGCTTGAAACAAAGTTTTAATTTAAACTATAAAATTAAACTAACATAGATCAATAAAAATTAAAGCTTCAGGCCAATTTATTTTCAGAATTAAATCAAATCGAATAAACTCAAGGATTTAAAAAAACATATTATAGATAAATCTTGAAGGTCATTCACTAAACCTGCTGAGCCGATCAATCGTGATACTACTGGCCGAGCTTTCGTCATTCGGTATAAAAGCTTGATTTAGCACATTCTCTTGTAAAAAGTGTTTGCAGTACGTAATTAGCTGAAACAATTATTAGGTATCAATCGAAGTATCCTTAATAAAAGCAAAGCGTTTCTACCTTTTAATCTTCAATTAAAAAACAAATTTACAGTTTTATCAGTGGTTAATCATATTTAAATGCCTTCGCGGGTAGTTACAACCGTTCTATTTCTGTGCCAAAGCGGTCAGGTGTTACACAACGCTTTTTTTTTATTTATCGCCCGTTTAGGTTGGCTGTCATGCGGATCACCGGATGATGGACGATTATGGACATCAGCAATGCCGGGAGCAGAGCCAAACCGCTGCCTACCTCTGAATACTATTCGCAAGGAATGGAAGTTCATTCCAGAACCGAATGGTACGTGGCAGAAAAGATCTCTAGACACGCACCGTTGTTAAACGCAACGGTTCAACCTCAAGTTTCAACACGGGTGGCGTCATTCGTGTTGTAAGATCTATGGGCTCCGGTAAGCACTTAACAACACGTGGCCCGTGAGCTGGTTCTCCTAGTCACCCACAAAAGCAATTTAATAAAACATAAAATGATTGCAATACCACATTTAAAAGCACTTCTTTAAGTGTTCTTAATTTCATATTAAAGTAGGTTAGGAAAACATCAAATGTTTTCTTAGCAAATATGTACATCCTTCAGAATTTAACGTATTAAACACTTTACATAATAGTATCTTATCAATACTTGAAGAATAATTTTAAATTAATTTGTTTAATGGTTTAATGGTTACAGACAGATGAGATGGTTAGTGATAAACATAACTTATAAAAATATATTTAGTTTGACACGACAAAAATAAAAACTAACTTCCTAACTAGAAATGGTATATGTTATCTTCATTCAAAACTAACCTGACCTCGACCTCATTTTAAAGTGGATAGTGACATATCCTTCATCGTATAAATGAGGGTTTATGGAAGGAATGGTTTAGAAAGAATGGTTTGGAATTGGAAGAAAGTTTATGAAAGAAATATGGGTTTCGTTAGCCGCTTAATCGGTAAACTGCTAACAATACTGTATTCAGCATACCTGCTTAAAGCATGGAACAGCTTTTCCCTAATGCAATTGGAACCACGAACTCATTTCATATTGAGATATGAGAATGTTACCATTCATATGGTAACATTCACATTGTAATAAACTCGTAACCACTTAATACTAATGGGCTGTAAGTCCATCTTATGCACTTCATAATATTTATTCTAACAAAGTAATTACATGAATATTAAAATCTACTCATCTTTTATTTAATGTAAAATAAACTCACTTTTTCGTGCTGCTCTTGGGCCACTTTATTAATCCTCTTAATTTCCATTTTGAGATGAGTGTTCTCCTTAAACCTTTCATTTACACACCAATGGTCTCCAGAAAAAATTAACGGAAGTACATAGGGATGGCCTGAATGAGAAAAAATCTTTTACACATCCGTTTACAAAAAAAAATTATATTTAAAAAAAAATCCTCTTAGAGCAGACACTTATTTTACAACCTAGCTGTCCTAAGGTATGAAGCCTCTTGGTGACACAGTTCTGCCCGTTTCGGCAGAAAAATCGTCATGCGCTCCAGCTTGAAAAATGTTTAATTTTATTTTATTTTTTATTGCTTAGATTAGTAGACTTACAGCCCACCTGTTGTTAAGTGGTTACTGGAGCCCATAGACATCTACAACGTAAATGCGCCACCCACCTTGAGATGTAAGTTCTAAGGTCTCAAGTATAGTTACAACGGCTGCGCCAACCTTCAAACCGAAGCGCATTACTGCTTCACGGCAGAAATAGGCAGGTTGGTGGTACCCACCCGCGCGGACTCACAAGAGGTCCTACCACCAGTAATTACGCAAATTATAATTTTTGCGGGTTTGATTTTTATTACACGATGTTATTCCTTCACCGCGGAAGTCAATCGTAAACTTGTTGAGTACGTATTTCATGAGAAAAATTGGTACCCGTCTGAGATTCGAACACCGGTGCATCGCTCAACACGAATGCACCGGACGACTTATCCTTTAGACCACGACGACTTCAAAATGTGATCCTCGTCTTGTACGATTGAAGTCAATTCAGATTTCTATTATACGTCTCAAAGCGAACGGTAGCCATCACATTTTACTGACTTCGATAACCGCTTAAAACTAAGCAACGTTCTTGTCTGTCCACATCAGAATATTAAAAAGAAAAACCTGCCAAAAAATTTAACGAAAAAGTTAACATTCTCTATTTCAATAATAACCTTTTATTGTCCCCAGTGATTCATCGCTAATGACTCCCATGCTGCAATAAGATTTCAATTCACATTCTGTAGAACGTGACGCCCAAATGTCTTGCAAAGTTTTGGAAATTTGAGAAGCCTTATATATGCATCCGTAGGGATTCCGTGACGCAAACGACTCCATCTTTAAGAGAATTTGTTTTATGCAATAACAATTTTAGATGTTTAATTTTTAGTAAGTGTGAAGTTCGCAAATTTACATTATTACTAAAAATATTCATTCGGTCTTTGTAGATTTTGCTAAGGTCTACAGCATAGATAGACAGACTTTATATAGAATCCTCACCTACTTTAAAATCCCACAGAAACCTATGAGAATGGTGGAGGTTGGTACTAGGGAAAATATAATGACGATACGAGTTGGCGCTACTCTTACTGATGAGTTTGACGTTGTGACTGGACTCAGGCAAGGGGACGCTCTGTCACCAATGCTGTTCAACCAAGCACTTGAACACGTCATACGGAAAGTGAACGCATATAATGGCGGAGTGTGGCTTAATGGACAGCATAAGGTGATAGGGTATGCCGATGAGCTTGTTCTACTAGTAGAAAGAAAGCAGCACGTTATAGACGCATTCAACTGCTTCCAACAAGAAGCCTCTTGGATTGGCCTTCGTGTGAGCCACGACAAGACAGAGTATCTTCACATTTGTCGATACAAAAACATAAGACGGAAGCGAGAAGACTTAGTTGTGGGAAATACGAGATACAAAGGGGTGGCCAAATTCCGGTACGTTGGCTGCATTGTAAAAGACACCAATGACAAGGAAGACGAGATCGAAATACGTGTACAAAATACCCTACGATGCAGTGCAGCCCTGCATCCGGTCCTCTCTTCGAAGTTACTAAGCAGGCGTACTAAGGTTCGGATATACAAGACTATAGTCAGACCGATCTTATTGTATGGATGGGAAGCATGGACGCTTACACAAAAAGAAGAGACAAAACTTCTCGTGACGGAGCGAATGATACTGAGAAAGATACTAGGACCAGTTCAGAAAGGTGATGGTTCTTAGCACATCCGGAAAAACAAGGACGTGAAGAGGCTTTTTGATGAGCCAAATAATCTGGGGGAGATGAAGGCACGGAGGCTCTGATGGCTCGGGCACGTAGTGCGTATGGAGCAAGATCGGGCTGTAAAACGGGTGTACACGGGTATACCAGAGGGACGCCCCCCCGTAGGGAGGCCCAAGAACTGCTGGTCTGACGCTGTGGAAGGAAATTTACGTGAGGTCCAAGTGTCGGACTGGCAAGTTGTTGCGTTGCGCCGGGATGAATAGCAACGTTTATTGTCCGGGGCCAAGACCCCCATCGGGATCATAGCGCCAGCGCAGTAGTAGTAGTAATTTTTAGTAGTTTCATAGTTTAAATTAAAAAATCAAATAAATTTCTTGGTATAATACATAAAATGACTAACTGCAATTTAAAAATTTATATATTTATACGAGTATAGCACTAACATGTCCTTATTGGATCGAATCAACCTACTCAGCTTCTTGCCGGATCTGCGATTCTGATCTGCATTCGAAGTACTAGACCTAAGTGTTAGCAAATATACAGATTGTGCCCGTGAGCTCACTTACCCGTCCGCGCGTAGCTATCATAGCTAGATCCTTAGGCTACCCCAGCGAATAGGTAGGAAAAAAGGTAAGAAAAAACTTGCAGTACCTTTTCTATAAAATCTTTCTTCAACCAAGACTCATTAAATTGTGTATGGTCTAAATTTGTTTTTCTTAATACATCTTTTCCAACCAAATTCCAGTCGCAGTTATCACCGCTAATTGTGTCTTGTATAACTAATGGTTTCTCTACTTCTACATGAAACACACTGTCGTTTGCAGCCCATACAAGCAAGTCGTTGATTTCATCGGTTTCAACCTTAGACCGAAATGCATTGTTAACATGATTTATATAGTACCCATATCTGTCTGACGACAGCCTGAGAATGATAATTCATTCAGGGCTAATGCCCTGTTCATAAAAATCCTAAAATGCCGTATTATCATTAAATTTCTATTTTTTTTTTATTTAGTTAATCTGAGTCCAGGAACTAAGAGACCACAACATGTCGGAAACCTTTTCCATGAACCCATGATTATTGTCCATACCTTTACTTCATTATCAGCTGATCGTCATTTAATGTACGACCCGGTGTATTAATTCATCTATCTACATAATACATACTAATAAATCCTAACATAATTTTCTCAGCGCGTGTTAGTTGAAGGCCTTCATCAAAGAAATTTGAGCCACATCTGACATTTTGCCTTTAGATTTCGTCCCCCAATTCCTTTTTTTTCTGTTTCATGGGTCATTTTTTTTATTTTTCTATATGTATAGGCGATACTTACGTACTAATGGTACTATGTGTTTAGTGTTCACCGAAACCCATATAAGAGATGGATATAAACTTCAAAGTCTCTATTGTATTCTAAAATAACCGTTTTAGGGCGATCCCCGACTACATACAGTTAGACAATAAATAGTCATACTAAGCCAAGAACGATGTGAAATATAAAGCAAGATGATTGATTAACCGAGGACGTCTCACCTTCCGAGCGACGCAGGTTCTCACGGGACACGGCTGTTTCGATCGCTACCTGCACCTCGTCGCCCGGACGGAGCCGATGCCGAAGTGCCACCACTGCAGTGGCTGCAACGAGGACACGGCGCAGCACACGCTCGCGTACTGCCCTGCTTTCGCGGAGCAGCACCGTGTACTCGTTGCAAAAATAGGACCGGACTTGTCGCTTCCGACCGTTGTGGCTACGATGCTCGACTTCTGCGAGTCCACCAGAAGGAGGCGGCGGAACGGGAGAGGGAGAGCTCTTCTTCCCTCTCGGCGCCGTGCCGCTGCCGCCGAGCCGGGGGTCGGAGGAGGGCGTCTGTCCAGCTCCGGCCCCTATAAGGAGGCAGTCTCCTCCCGGTGATGGTCACAGGGCGACCTAAGGGGGTTGAGGCTGCGCCGCACGCTACCGTCACTCTAGCGCGCTGGCACCAGGAAGACGGGACGACGGGTCGGCGACAGCGGACTGCGATGCGGTCCGCATTTTCGTCGGCGCTGTCGTCGCCGAACATACTGTGGAAGACCAACCCGGTCGGCGGTGTATCGTGTTCCGACTCGGCAGGCTGGTTCTGGCCCAGCGGGGTATCGCGGAACACCAGCGGCATCGCCTGGGCGGCCTGGTAGAGCCGCCGTACCGCGGAGACCGACGTCGTTAGTCGTCGACTATCGCCTCGACGACCGTTGATCGGGCGTCCTCGGGGTAGCGCCGCGTGTCTGGTTGTAGTGTTGACCGCGGGAACCCCCCTACTCTGACCGGGTTTTGACCCCGGACACCTGCAGATCGTTGATACCACGCGCGCCCCCTAGGCGCGGGGACCTCGTAGGAGATTCGGACCCGGCCCGAAAAAAAAAAAGATTGATTATCAACAACGAAGAAATAGCCTTAAACATAGGTAGGTAAAACTTAAATTAATATGCTTACCTTTAAATATTCTCCTAGGATATTTTTACCTATAGACGTCAAAGGTGTCGGACAAAAAAATACATCATACGGCACATTTGTTGACAAAGACTTTAGAATGTCTATCGCTACCAAGCCGTCAGCAATAAATATGGGCTTTTGCCCAGATTTAATATTTTTCTTGTTTATTACATTTTCTTTTACAATTTCCGCGATGTTCGATATAGGCCCAAATAAATTGTTGGCAATTTTTATAATTAAGTAAAATGAATCGAACATTTCATCAGTAATAACGTTGTAAAAGTCGATACAATTTGGATTGGGAAAATTAGTTATGAAACAAAATACGTCTGCGTCTGTAATACTGTAAATTAAAAAATAAGTCTTTAACATAAAATCTTACTTATTATAGCAAAAATGATCGTAATTCAACACAATTGAACGAGAGAAACAAATTCTTGGAGCCAATTTTAAATATTTTGCACTATTTTAAAAGACGAAGTTCCATCCAATGTGCCTTAAGTAAATTAATATAAGTTAAACTCAGTCACGGGATACGGACCGCATTTCTATGAAACCAGACCGCAAACCCAGGCTCGAACACATGCAGACGGCCGTATCTTGCGGTCCAGCTAGTTGTTTTATCTCTTCCCATGCAAACCAAACTACACCTTCGTTCCGGAATTACATGAGAAATAAGTAAGAAGGTACGGTTTACAAAACAAATCACCACAATAATGTTATTCATTAACACAAATTGAATACCTCGGTAAATTGGATGACGTATGCATGGAATTCACACAAGAAAAAGCACAATTTTCCAACTCCAGTATGAAAGCCTCAGCCATCTGTAATTCATTTGAATAAACCAAAAGAGTAAGATCAATTAGTTGATTGGTTCCGAACACAGTACCAGATAAAATTTTGACAGCAATTAACTGTGCCGCTGGCACAAGAGGGTTGACAACAATTACTCTTAACGGTGATGGTAGCGAAGTAATTTCTAAATTCATTCTATTTTTAACTGAAATATTGAACGTCTTGAAAATAATGTCCTTATTATTAGGATTCAACTAAAATGTAATGATTACAATCTTTACTTTTGTTCTATTAAAGTACTCTATAGTGTAGATATAAAGTCATTTTATTTTCTTTGTTATTCGTGATGACATTACATTTAATATGACAGACAACAGACGTAGAAATTGTATGCAAAAAGTTTAACATGTATTTACACAACAAACCAAACCAAACCAAAACCGAAAAAATAGATTGGTTGAAAAACTCTAAATTGTAAAAAGTTACGTACGTAGCTACTCCTTATTCTGTTCCAATGAACTTCAAATTCCGTAGACTACCCACCAATATTTCCAAACAAATATCTTCTTAACCCAAACGTATTGGTGGCATGCGTTCTCGATCCAGTGTGTTTTCTGCCATAAAGGAATTGTTAAGTAGAAGGGCAGCAGTGTCATAGAATATAAATAAAATTTTATTCTGATATCTCAAGTTTAAGTTAAATTATGTAACTAATTATATAAATTAAATTATATAAATAATTATGTGAAATTGTGTAAATTATTCTATATCGTCAACTTAGTACTTATTTTTTAACGTATACTCTTATTTGAGTCGACTATTATCAAACCCGGCAATCTGACTTTTGGACAATGATTGGTAAATCAGAAAAACGAATTATTGACTTTGTATTCCTTTGGCAGTCACAAAACTCTTCGGAACGACATCTTAGATAAATAACAGGTTAACTATTAACCTTTATTTAATGCAGGTTTTGAACCGTATTCTTTGAAGGAGACGATTATATTCAAATCAATCTGTATTGACATATCAATAAATTTTTTTTGTCCAAATGCACAGATTGCCACCTTTGATAATAGACGACTCATTTAAGGCTTATTAACTATTTGTGTATTTGTGAAAGTTCACATAGTAAAAAAATTTATAGCTTTCCCCAAAAAATCCGTTGAGCTCTAAACAAATTCAAGCCACTTTACTGAGATTCTTTTAGTATTTAAATATATAAGCTGTTTATGTAAATATTCATACCACCAGTTTTCAGAAATTCTCACAAAAAGTTTTGCGTTTTAAGTCAAAAAAGACTACGCAGAAGATTTGGCTGTGCAGGCTAAGTTTACGTTGCCTATGTAAATGACAATTCAAACAAAAAAATGACACGTGACACTTGACAGTAACAATTCACTGACGTGTTTGAGTTTTCTTTCAGAGTGATTTGTTTTGTATATTCGGAAATGTGTCGTTATTGTTGTTAATATTAACTTAAACCTTAATATGGCATCTGCAAGAGAAAATGATGCAGAAGTATCACCAACATCATCTATGTCTTCTGTCAAATCTCATCCCATCGAAAGATCTTCATCTTCAAAAGATGAAAGATGGCCAGAACTTCTGATATCGCGACCACAAAAAACATATAACTCAAAAAGCAAGTATATATCACATTCACTACCTTATCAATAATAGAACCGTATGCTGCTGTTAAAAATAAACTATAAATGTCGCTGCCGCGTGATTTCTAAGTACGCTTATTTTAAAAAAATATTGTAAATGTTTGGATGTTTTATTATTTTACACTCAAGTAAATTGCCAACATCATCAATAAATACCTTGGGATTTTTAGTTAAAATGCTTAATTTTTTTATCCCATCTGCAGCCAAAAATATCAAACATGCTATTGAAGTTGCCACTATCCAACACCAGTTTGGTGGATTTAATAAAGCAAATAATACCCATGAACTATTTTGATTTGATAATTCAAATTGAATCAGAAATGGATTAAATTTGTTCTACCTAATTTAGCTATTGCTCCTATACTTGCCACAAATATTTGTAGCAATTTTTATATATATTTATTTGTAGCAAATATTTTTAACAAAAAATGCATTATCAAGTAATTTATCATATCAAAACGAAATTTACAATTACAATATGTGGCTATACTATTTAAGTGCATATGAAAAATATTAGACTTCAAGCATCTGATATATGTAAGTATCCTGATAATATTTTATATTTTGAAGTCCTTATGGCCTGCCTATGGTGTGCGATAAGACACCTCAGTGTTTTCTAATCTAGCGATGCAACTATGCCAGGGTTGGAATCCTGCAGGCAGATATAATTTTTTCTTCATGTGTACTTAACAAATGTTCATGATTGACTTCCACAGTAATGGAATAAAATTGGTAATAAAAATCAAACTGGCAAAAATTATAATTTTCATAATTATCGCACAGATAGGTTATTTCTGCCGTGAAGCAGTAATACATATCAGTTTGAAGAGTGAGGCAGCCCTTGTACCGAAAAACTGAGATTTAGAACTCGTCTTTCAAGGAGGGTGGTGGCATTTATGTTGTTGATGTCAATGGGCTCCTCTTGACAGCTCACAACACCAGGTGGGCCATGAGCTACCCACCCATCTTAGCAATAAAAAATTTAAAAAACAATAAAGGACAGACAAACAAAGAATAAAGAAACAATATAATTACAATTTTGTTTGTGCAACAAATCCATAAATGAGTTTTTTGCTTAAAAATCTGCATTAATTTATGAGTTATTAATTATGCCTATAATTTCGTCAGAATAAAGTTAAATGGGGGCACGGAAATGCATTATTATATTAAACTTTGTAAAGTAAACATAGCTCCAACAAAAAACCAATAAAATGAATATATTGTACTTTTTTCTGAGCATCAAGTGTGTAAAAAGTAAAATAAAAAATGTCAGTCTATTCAGTAGCATGTTGCTTGATATGTGCACAATCGCAGACTCCTATGATGTTATTTATACAAATTCACAAAGAAATATGTAGATCTTCATTGAATAGAACCTAATATAATAGTGTATACATACGTAACGTAAAAAATATTATATTTATAAACAAGGTAGCATTTTTAATATTTAATCCCCTCTTACTTTACATTCACTTTCATTACCAATTATTTAAATAAATATTGTTTATTTCACGCTTATTTATTATTATTTCATTATATATGCTTGCTCCATATATATATATATATAATGGAATCATTCAACTAATTTTTTTCGAGTGAGATTTGTCATTAACTTGAAAATTTGCATAATGTGTATCAAAGACCAATGATAATACAATAATTTTAAAACTTTATTTTCATATAATGACCAGAATCACCAGAAAAAAATTGGCTTGTTATTTTGTGTGTGTTTTTTTTTAAATTCCTCGTGTAATCACTATCTTCAGATTGAAATTGATGGATTAATAATTCCATCTAATGTACTTACGGTGAACTCTTAGCAACTCACGTAAAACTTAAACATCGTGATTTGGTATAGTGAGTCGTAGTAGTTCCCCAAAGCTTGTGCAGATGTCGCTACTTCGAACAAAGTATTGATTTTCTCCAAGTGGTGCTTTCGTTACATGCCGGGAAATCAATATGTAGCTTCTGGAAAAATCAGATTCCTCACAACGCAATAACCGTATCGAGAGCACTTGTAATCCTTAATATCGTTCAATAACAGTACGCGATTATATTTTCGTAGAGTGAATTATAAACATACCTCGTGACCTTTTGTGTATTACGGCAATGATTATAAAAAATTAATCAAGATTTTCGGAACAGTGTTAACAGTTTTGCTTGATTGTTTTTTTGCTGAAATATTATGCGTTCTCTTGCCGCTGTACATGGGGTAGATCCCTTGCCGGAATTGGGCATTCCACGGGGGGTACAACAATTAGGAGGTCTAGACGCCGATATGGCCGGCGCTCATGATACAATATATCTATGCAACTTTCGCGTTTCCGTGGACGGAGAGTGGCTTTGTTTAAAAGAACTGCACGACATGGAGATGCAAGATTCTTACATCCATCCAACAGACAACGGTGCGATTACTTCTCCTGACGATCCTATGCATTGCTTGATGGGTAACTTTGCAGATAAACCTATTTCGTGCTACGCCAATTTGATCAAAGTACTAATAGAGTATATTTAAAAATTAATTTTACTATTGTAGCTCGCGATCCCGTTGTCATTGAACGCAGTAATCTCGTGAATATCTCGAAACTTATAGTGAAGGAACTAATCGAGCAGTCGCTACGTTTCGGCCGAATGCTCGACAGTGATCACTTGCCGTTGCATCACTTCTTTATTGTCCTCGAACATGTCATGCGTCATGGACTCAAACCGAAAAAGGTAAGTAAATGGGTACATTAGTTATAAACAGCTGCGTAATGTATATGCCATTCCGTCTTCTCGCATTAAAACTGTATAATCTCAAAACTTACTAATTTTACAGGAGCGTGTTTTAAAGGTTTATCATGTTATATTTTTAATATTTATTATCTTTTCAACATTTATTATTTATTTTTTAACAGTTACATTACAAAAGACAGACTTTTAAAGTAAGATAAAATTATGTATTAATTTTGTTAATAGTAGTCAAAACACAGGTAAACTAAAAAAAACTAAAACTATGCTCTTTTGACAGTATTTATGAGAAAAATACTGGTGATACCAAATGTTTCCGCATATTAACTCAATTTCGAATATTTTTGGAATTTGTACACTTTTAATGCGAAAAGACGATTTATACCTCGTGTGTCCTTATTCATCACGGCTCTTTCTGAATTTAAAACAGTGATAATTAATGTACTTGAAATTGGAACTCACCCACCTTAAAATAATTGAACTTGGTGTTATATCACAGGCTCTTCTGTGAGACAATATAAATACTGAAGGTTTAAACAAGCTTTAAACACAAAAGGTTTCATTAAAATTGATGGAGTAGTTATTAAGTGATGTGCTTATAACAATTCTCAAATAAAACAAGGAATCAGTTAATTGCAGCACGTAATAACAACAAGCGTTATAACTTTTTTTGAAATTAATTAAAATATATTATAAAAAAATCAGTTCTTTTACAGTTTCCTAATAGAATAAGATCTAAGATTGTACATAAACATTTTAGGGACTCCTCGGACCTAAAAAGGAGCTATGGGATATTCTTCAAATGGTTGAGAAGTATTCGCCTGAGGCAGCCGATATCACGGCCAGTGTCAGAGATCTTCCAACTGTGAAGTGAGTTTAAAAAACACACACACATGTTACTCGACTGTTGTAACATTTTAAACGTGCTTTAATAATTTAGTAAATAAATCTACCTACAACTTTGACATTACGAATTGTGTCTTACAATTTACTAATGAAATCAGTTATGGCACTTGAAAAATTATAAAATTCAAAGATATTTACAGGACAGCAATGGGCCGCGCTCGGGCTTGGTTGCGATTGGCGTTAATGCAAAAACGACTCGCAGATTACTTGAGAATCCTCCTTGAGCATCGTGAAGATACTTTGGAGGAATATTTCGAACCCCACGCGCTGATGCTGAACGAGGAAGCTGTAATTATCACCGGTTTGCTGGTCGGTCTCAATGTTGTCGACTGCAATTTGTGTGTTAAGGTAAATAACACATATCGATGGGTGAAAGTATATTATAGGGTACTAACTAGCTGTACTCGTCCGCTTCGCTGGGCATTTAAAATTAACATTATTATTTCTCACCCCCACAAAGATTCTCATCATTAACGCCAGAACTGGTGTAGAGAGTCCAACACTCATATAAATATTAGCCTATCCATTAAGTACATGTATTTTCTACATGGATACCAAGTTTCAAGTCAATCGGATGCATGGTTCAGTAGTTATAACGGAACATCCGTAAAATCGACTGTAGATTTATATATTAAGTATAGATTTGATGGCAACATTAGTCTTTGTAACTAAAAGTCCGTTTTATTTCGTATTAGTATCAACAAATCGATGTTTTTAATTGACCTTCAATTAAGTTTACCTCATTTACAAATGGCTGAAGAAGTTTTTTATTATGATATTTTTTTCCAAAATTTAAACTTTAAATGGCTTTCCTATAAAGTTGCAAAAATGTCGCTTAAAGGAAAATAGACCCCTAATAACCCCTCGATATATATTTTTTTTTTAAATCATATGCAGGAAGAAGACTTAGATAGTCAACAAGGTGTCATAGATTTCTCTTTGTATTTACGAGGCAGTAACTCTTCCAACGACATAGCAGGAAATGAGAACAACTCAAACAATGAACCTAAACAACGCCACATCAACACTATGCTCGATCAGAAAAACTATATTGAAGAACTTAACCGACATCTGAAGTGAGTACTTTTAAAACTACATAGACTCGCAAATTTGCTTCATGTCTTTTTAGAAATTAGAGATTAGATTAATCTGAATGGCATGTGCGTGTGGGATAACACAATAAAGAGCTACATTGTCAATATGAACGTTCGTGTCTAAAATTTTACTGGTTTTACTGGTGGTAGGACCTCTTGTGAGTCCGCATGGGTAGGTATCATCACCCTGCCTACTTCTGCCGTGAAACAGTAATGCGTGTTTCGGTTGGAAGGGTGGGGCAGCCGTTGTCACTATACTCTCATATCTCGAGGCGGGTGATGGCATTTACGTTGTTGATGTATATGTGCTCCGGTAACCACTTAAAACCAGGTGGTCACGGCCCACCTGGCATCACGGCTCGTCTACAAAACTAAGCAATAAAAAAAAGTAAAAAATAAAACAGATTGACGAATGTGAACAGCCTATTGAGAATATGTCCCATTTCTCATAAACTAAGTTAATAAAGGTTAAACAATAAAACAACTTGCCTACAAGATAATACTACAGACCGCTAATCATTTAACATAAGACGGGCGAGTTGACGAGTCGATATATTTTTTTTTTTTTTTTTTTTATTGCCCTTGTAGGCAGACGAGCATACGGCCCACCTGATGGTGAGTGGTTACCGTCGCCCATGGACTTCAGCAATGCCAGGGGCAGAGCCAAGCCGCTGCCTACCGCTTCTTCAAAAAATGTTTTCATGAAAAAAAAGAAACATTTAAAAAGAAAATTAGATTTCGGGAAAGAAACGGTGTTTTTTATTAAATTCTTTTGCATCGGTAAAATAAAAAGAAACAGTTATGGTGGCATCGAATTAAAAGTGAAAACTATTCGAATTAATAACACGATAAAAAGCAGTAAGTCCAAAATATGTAGTTACTTTTAAAATGCATGACTCGTGGTGATGACGCAAAAACATTAACTGTTAACAAATGATGAAAGGCTTCGGACAAAAACGCTGTTATTTCACTTTTCATCGTGCAACTTCATATTGTAACAAACCGATAACGTCATTGATCATTACCATGATTATTTCTGTGAAACACAGTATCGGAAGTCATACGTGTTGTTTGTACGATTTCAAAAAATTATACAATATCGTTAAAAAAAGAATATTTAGAACAAAAATACTTAATAAATTTGTATTCTCTTTAATTGTACTTTTGCATTATTTAAAAACAATTAAGTATTTGCATTATAAAATTTTTTTCAAATCGGATGACAGTTTCATATGCTACAAGATTCTAACGGCAACCTGATGGTGTGTTGTCTCTCTGGGTCGTGCACCTACGCCACAAGTTTAACTTTTTTTTTCGAAGTGACTGAGATACTGAACACCGCCAACAACCATCCACCAACTATCGAACTCAAAAATCTACATACTCTCATAACTCTCCACCAAGGAGGTCCGACGCCACGAGATAGAAAATGGATCTTGTTTACTGAGACGCCGTAAACTAAAATAAGGTCACATAGAAGTTATTAATTTATTGAGATTAGAAACATGCTATTTAAGAAAATACTTCGGGTTGTAGCAACCGGACACCTGTTTGTGCGCCTGTCGTTACATAGAATGAGGTAACACACCATCGGGTAGGCCGCATGCACGTCTGTATTCGCCAGTATAAAAATAAAATACAATTCGATTCCTCGTGTCAGCGATTTCCCACATTTAAAGATTAAAAAAATTAAAAATAGTTTAAAAAAACTAACAAAATACTTGATTTTATTGTAAAAAAAAGGCGTGGGGTGCATGGTATAAGTAATTATAAATATTTTATGAACAGATATGAGTAGAAGGGTTATTTTGATAATATCCTGAAAAGCACCCCACGCTTTTCTACAATTAAATCATTTTTCTTACACTATTTTTAGTTCAAATTTATTTTCTATTTTTCAGTTGGATTTTCTATAAAAGCGTATTTTGTTAGTTTTTTTAAACTATTATTTATTTTTAATTTTTTAGTTGAATTTCAATTTTTTCAATATTTTTATCTCATTTTTTTTTAAATATTGAATTGTCATCGGTCTTTTATAAGTATACCAAATTTCGAGTTAATCCTACGTTTTGAAGGGGGTCAAAATCATGTTCAAAGATTCCGTTACAAACATATTTACATACATACGTCTGCGGCTAATAAAAGCGTATTAAAAATGTACAAATTTCTGTCGTGAATGAGTTTCGGTTTCGCTAAAACTGAGAATTAGAACACACGTCTCAAGGTGGAAGAGGGCATATACGTTGTCGATATCTATTAGTTCCGGTACCCGCTTAACACCAGTTGGACCGTGAACTCGTTCACCGCATCTAAGCGATAAACAAAAAAATATATGCTATTTTAAAGGTGTAAAATTTTCGTAATATAACAGAGTGCCATGAACAAGAAACACTACGATTTTATCGCAGTCGGCCAAAACAAGATAGTTCAGCTATCACTTCGCATTCATATCGTTTTCTACTATCAGTGTGTTGTTTTTTTTTATTTTTATTGCTTAGATGTGTGGACGAGCTCACAGCCCACCTGGTGTTAATTGGTTACTGGAGTCCATAGACTTCTACGACATAAATGCGCCACCCACCTTGAGATATAAGTTCCAAGGTCTCAAGTATAGTTATAATGGCTGCCTCACCCTTCAAACCGAAACGCTTAACTGCTTTACGGCAGAAATAGGCAGGGTGGTGGTACCTACCCGCGCGGACTCACAAGAGATCCTACCACCAGTAATTACGCAAATTATAATTTTGCGGGTTTCATTTTTATCACACAATGTTATTCCTTCACCGTGGAAGTCAATCGTGAACATTTGTTGAGTACGTATTTCATTAGAAAAATTGGTACCCGCCTGAGATTCGAACACCGGTGCATCGTTCAACACGAATGCACTGGACGTCTTATCCCTTAGGCCACGATGACTTTATAATGTTAATATTACAGCGCCACCGTAGCAAATCTCCAGGCGAAAGTCGAAAGCCTGACCACAACCAATGCGTTGATGAAGGAAGACCTTGCAATCGCAAAGAACACAATGATTCAGCTAGTCGAAGAAAACAATCAACTGAAACACGCTTTAGGTAATTATATATATATATATAATACGTGAAGCAAAAACTTTGTACCCCTTTTTACGAAAATTGCGCGGACGGAGGAGTATGAAATTTCCCACACTTATAGAGAATATATAGAGAAGGAGCGCAGAATGCTAATATTTTTTTTAAATTATGTATTATTAATACATTAAATTAATAAAAAAATCATTACACACACTACCATATACTTGACACACACGCATATACTTTTACATACATACATACTTACATACTACACATACTCTTTGTTTACTATCAAACTTTTGTTATTGCTTAAAGTCTGTGGTCAAATTGAGAATAGGTTACTTAATATTGTATAATCTTTAATTTTATTTGTATAGTGTAGTCTTGGCTAAATCTGTGATTATAGATTATAGAGATTATAGAATTAGTCTTTGTGTCTTTGACAATAGAACCATAATAATGTTCAAACTTATAATTTAAATTAATTATAGTCGATTTTCGACTACTGCGGGACCACTAGTTATTAATTACTAGCCATATTCCGTATTTAAAATTGTTTACTATTTAATGGTATGTTGAAACAGTCATAAAGTAATAACAATTAGTGTTGCAACACATTAGTCAATATGACAATATTGATATTACATTTTAATAATAATTTAATATTATTATTATTATTATTTTTATTGCCTTTGTAGGCAGACGAGCATACGGCCCACCTGATGGTAAGTGGTCACCGTCGCTCATGGACGTCAGCAATGCCAGGGGCAGTTATATATATATATATTATATATATATTAGGCTACAGATGACCGCCACGACCGAAACCTGCGAGTTCTAAAAATAAAAAAATATATAAAAATCCGCGATGTTTCTATTCCAGTACACATGTGGTTTAATTATATAAATAGTGAAGTTACTAGGTCAGTGGCTGATTTAAAAAAAAAATATCGACATCAGCTGATCAATTGATGGAACGTGGTTGTGTTTACTATACAAATGACGGCTTAATAATAATGACGGATTGCCGACTAGATAAGACGTCTTGCACTGATGACTCACTTTGTATTCTATCGCTTAGTGTGCATTAGTATGCGAAACCCGACGCTTGTGTCTTTTATTTTATTGTCAATTTATATTTAACTGCGTCTGTTCACCGTTATGCGCTATCGTTCTTAATTCATGGGTAATAATAACGGCAAAACGTATAGTAAACAACCGTTTTGGATCAGATCTTGTGAGTTTCGTGGGATTTAAAGAATAACGATTGTGTTCTTTTTTTTTTGTTTACGCGTGTTATTTTTTTTTTTTTTTTTGTTCAGGTCAAGATATAACCAAAGATTCGAGAATGAAAATCACGGAACTGCAAGCAGATGAAGAGGTACTATGTAACTGTTTTAAGATTTCTAATTTGTGTATAGTAATTACATTAAAAACTAAATACTAGTGTATCTAATGAATAAAGTAAATGAAATATTTGAGAAATAAATATCGCGCTTTTCGAACCTACCATCATTTATGATTAAACATCTATCTATGTGATAAAAAATTATAAGTGCCAATTTTCACCGACATTCCGTTCCTATCATTCCAGGAAAAACGAAGCGTTAAAAGTGTAACTTCTGATAGATCTAAGAGTGATAAGGATAGTGAGATGTCAAAGGCGTTAGAGGAAGAAAGGAAGAAGTATTTAGAAATGCAAAAGGAACTTGATTTGCAGGTAAATGAATTGAAACGATTATTCACACTACGAATAAACAATTGAACCGTTGCAATTAGATTACACATTTTACTATGAACTAATTGAATTACAATAAAATATACCTAGTCAGGTCATAAATTCTGTCACATGTTGAATGTAAAATAATTGAAACAAGTTTATTCATTATGTAACCATTCATATACCAAAATAAACTTAACAAAACATAGATTCTTATGACACTAAAGTTTATTCAAAATGACCTCCGTGATTTTGAATACAGGCCTTCAATCTGCGCGGCCAGTCGTCTATCGCAGCACGAACGAGGTCCATGTCAATATCGGCGGCTGCCTTAATCAAGGATGTCTTGAGTGACTCCAAATTGGGATGAGGCTTTGAGCACGCCTTTTCCTCCAAGTGTTGCCATATCTTGTAATCTAACGGATTCAAATCTGGACTGGAGGAGGGCCAGTCTTCGTGCCGGATGAAGTCGATTTCACGCGCCGCCAGCCAGTCTTGTGTGCTCTTCGCTCTATGAGCTGGCGCCGAATCTTGTTGGAATACCCAGTGCCTGTTATTGAACATGGTATGAGAAACAGGTTCCACAAGGTTCGTCAGGACTGTATTTTGATACACAACTGCATTCGTTTTTACACCTTTCTCACAAAAATGTACCTCTGTTAAGCCCCAATAAGAAACTCCCAACCATACCATGAGCGAGGATGGAAAATGACCTCGTTGGACACGCGGAATACGGTTGCTCGCTTCTTCACTACTGTGTGCGTACACCTTATCATTTGGTTTGTTGTAGCTCTCTTCTACGGTAAAAATTTTTTCATCCGAAAAAAGAATTTCCCGATATTTTTTTCCCGCGTACCGCTTCAACGAAGCGCGGCATCTCTTCAGTCTCAGGTCCATTAGACGAGCATTCAAACGATGTCCTGTTTTTCTTCGATATGCCCGAAGCCCTAAGTCTTCATTTAACACCCTTTTCACCGTGGTTCTGCTTAACCCCATCTAAAGGGCCAACAGTTTCTGCTTACGTTTGGGATTTCTTTGAATTCGCGCCTTCACAGCTTTTATCACTGCTGGAGTCCTAACAGACCGAGGGCGACCACTTCTTGACCTGTCATCTACACTAGAGTCTTCATTGTATCGTTTGATGGTACAATAAACGAATCTTTTGGTTATATTCAAATTTTTCAGTATGTTAAAAATTTGAATTGGCGCGTAACCGCAACGATGTAACGCAATAACTTCAACACGGTCTTCTTTAAGCGTCCACTCCATATTTAAAAATGAGTAAAATTCTAAAAGTACACATTTTTATTTTCATGAACAATTCGAAATTCGAATTCAATAAACTTTTTTGTGGCCAGCATTCTAAAAGAAAAGTTTTTACTGTGTGACATTACTTATGACCTGACTAGGTATAAGTACATATGTGTATATACATACCGTAAATTGTAAATTTAATTTTTCTCTTCAGATTTCACTGAAGGCAGAAATGGAGGTAGCCATGAAATTATTAGAAAAAGATATACACGACAAACAAGACACTATTATATCTCTAAGGAGGCAGCTTGACGATATAAAGCTTATCAATTTAGAAATGTACAAAAAATTACAGGTAAGTTCTCTAGTCAATGAATAAGCATGTTGTATTGACCTCCGGGATTTGTACCCTTCGTATCTTCGCTTTCGACAACTGTGTTGCCAAATTACTTTAGTTACCTTCACGCTCTGTTGACTAACAATAGTGTTTCAATTGTAAAATAAAACTAACAACTGAATTTCGAAATAATTACAGGTAGGTACTATCCTAAGATGAAATTTTTTATTTTTTATTTTTTGTAATACAACCGCTTTTGTTTCACAGGCACGAACAACCTAAATATTTTTTTTATTTAAAAGCCCAGACGTTGTCTGTAGAAATTTTTAATGCTAATAAACTTAACAATGGCCTGTATTTTACTTTCGATTCTCAGCTGTATCTTAAGCTCCCCTTAAAACAATTACGTTGTTAGTGAAATTCACACAATTCTATAAGAGTCACTCTTCGGCCATTGTCAAGGAGTATAATAGCGATGCTCCAAGGCTTTAGTGTGGGTGCTGAATTCAATGCCTCTTGTTATCCGCCAACGCATACTGTTCACCTCGCTCATTAATCATTTACGTGGCTCTGCACCTTACCTCGAATACTTTTTGCTAATTAATTAAATGTATTATAATTATCATTAAAAATCTCCGTAACTGCTTTTTTTTAAAATAGGCCGTATCATGAATCACGTATCATGAACGACCGTCTGGTCTAGTGGTATGTGACATGGTCACTACACAAGGGGGTCGCGGGTTCGAATCCCGCCAAGGGAAGATATTTGCATGATAAATATAAAATGTATTTTCCAGGGTTATGGATGTATATTAAATATATGTATGTGTATAATATAAATCTTACATTTATTTCCGTTATCTGGTACTTGTAACACAAGTTCTTTACGAACTTAGCACGGGACCAGTTAACGTGGCATGATTGTTAGTAAATATATATTTATTATTACTATATATTTATTATGAATTACGGTATGCTATCCTGTGTATTGTTACGTTTTATTTATTACTATTCACATTGCTTCATAACAATCTACTAATATTGTAATTTAAAAAAAGCTGTATCCATACTAACACGATGCTTATTGGTCTGTGCCGCGTTTTACGAACGGAAGGAATGCGAGACGGAGCTGACGCAGAAAGGTGAAATGGTATCGAGGCTTCAAGCGAAGGCCGAACAAATCGGCAAAATACTCCACAACATTGAGAAATACAACCACTTCCTAGGATCCGATCACGATCTAGTTAAAGCCCTAAGATCTCCCACTACTAACGAAACGAATATAGGAGAGAAGCTCGAAAAACTCAAAGCTCATTGTAGTTCCTCACACAAGGGTACAAAGTCCAAGGACGAGGGTCCTCCAAATAAGAAACTGAATCTTCAGGAAATACCACCGTTTAGGAAAAGTAGTAGTCACGATAGAAGTGTCGCTCGACCAGGTGAATGAAGCGATACTAACAAAGCGCTGTTATTTAATATTATGTAAATACTTAGTATGAACAGGTGGTATTTCCTCTTTATTATATAAATACGTGAATCACAAAAGCATGTTTATCTAAAATCGTATTCATAATTAAAAACTACAAGAATCTCTTTGGTAAATTATATAGTTATTAAGTCGCTGCGTTAGCCTAGCCGATAGTTTTCGTATTATTATGTACTGTTTTATTGCTTTATTAACATATTTCGTATCTACTTATATAATATTTAACACGCTTCCTGACTAACATCCAAACTGACTAACGAATAAAATAATTTTTTTTGAGCTTAATTATATTGACATTGTTTTAGGAATGTGAAATTTCCTTGAAACATAAAACAGAGTTAATAGCCAAATTGGAAGCAAAGACTGAATCAATGGGCAGCACCATACATCAACTTGATGAAAAGTAGGTTGTGCCATTTTTATTATGATATCGCATCGAGCAAGTAGCCAGCTCTCCCTAGAGTTTAAATATCATAAAGTAACGTTTTTTTCTGTCAATCTATGGCCTTAATTTGGAATGGTAAATGAGAACCTATAAAAAAACTAATATATAGCATCTTTTTCGATTTTCGTAAGTCTTAGATATAACTATTATATAATGTTTTAATTAAAACTAGGTACCTTTTTCTTTTTAAAATCGTCCATTTATATCATAGTGTTAATATATGTTTAACATTATAATATGAAATACAGATTTGCAATAACACACCCTGTATAGAAACCTCGTATCCTGTATACAAGGTGCATATGAAACGTGCCCTAAAACATACACAAATGTAGCTAATTCCTAGCACTAAAACGTTTAAAAATAACTTTCTTTTTTCCTCACACACTTTTCTCCTTAAATAAATCCGCACACAGTCAGATGCATTTCATTGCTCCTTAAAAATTTGTTAGTTTACATGTCAAGATAAAAAAATTAATCTAGCTCTAAATCATTTTCCGTTTATTTTTGGGCAGTAGTTTATTACTGCTTAGATTTTGACATAGCATTTTTATAAAGAGGATTATTTCTAAAATTCTCAATTATAGCTAAAACCTATTATTTCAGTTAGATTTATCTGAAACATTCCATTTAATTAGTGTTCTATTCTAAATTATAATGCACTCCAATTGACCGATAACGCTAATACGCTGTGATAATTAAACTCTAGGATATATTGAGTGCCACAATAACGTATAAACGCTACGCTATTGAATAGTAACGCTTGACATATCAATAAAACGCACTCTTGTTGTGTAATGCACAGCTTCAAGTATAGAAGGGCTACTTTATTCGCTCGACATTGGCAAACCCTCACAATGAATACTGTAAAAGCATAAAATGACATTATATATTTTCTTACATTTAAAAATTAGACGGTAACGCTGTTATAGCTTTAGCTTTAATGTTGCTATGTTAACGAAACGAAAATATTACTGTAACGTTTTGTTAAATACACTTAAAAATAATTCTGTTTAAATTTAGTTTTTAATCAATTAACACAAAATTTGTTATAAATAATAAGTTGAGTAAGACATGTTTAGCTTTTGTTTTAAATTTAATAATAACATTTACAGACTAAAAAAGACTATTGTATTGAGTGAATCTACATTATTTATATTGTTATAAAAATGATCTCAGTTTTTTGTTTTCATTTATTGTAACACGATAATTTAAAATGTTGAATTTTTTTTATTGATTTACCTTTTATGTAGTCCTGTGGTTTCAATTGTGTAGTGATGTACATGCCTTATTTTTTAATAATAAAGCATATTCAGTCTAATACCGTATTTTATTGAGAAAAATGCTTATTAACTTTTATGTTTATTGTGTAGGTTTGCCAGTATCGATTTTAAACTGCCTTTACACTAAAATGCATCAAGTATTTAAGTTTAAAATGTAATAAATTAACTGACCTTATATAAAGTAACTGACTATAAAATAAAACTTTTTTTTTTTCTTAAAACTAAATTGATTCTATGATTAATCAAATAAAATGACTAACATTATCTTTACATTTTCTTGCATTTTTTTTTCTTTTTATATAAAGCAAAAAATTTCTATTACAAATATATCAGTTGTAAATATTTATTTTATACCAACAGATGAGAAAATAAAGATTAATTACTTTGCAATTAAAAAGTACGTCGACCATTTATCAGCCGATTTCTGAATTCAAAAATAAATCACTTCACGTATATATTATGTTTGATATATCGCATTTAAAAACATAATCGAACCACTCAATTCAGAATTCGGTGGGAATAAATTGCTTGACGAAATTAATTACCTAGAATTATTACCAACGTTACAATTGAACGAACCCACGTTAGGTTACAAGAAGATAAACTAACTAGGAAGAATCTAGAAGATAATGCCCGCACATTGGGTCAAAAAGCGACCACAGCCGAAAAGAAAGCTGTGGCAGCAGAGGGAGACCTTAGAATTGAAAGAGAATGGAGGATATCTCTACAAGTAAGTTTCACAATTTTGCCCCCGTAGCGACAGATTGCTATACGAGGTTTTAGTCTACGGTTTGGTTTGAACAAGTTATAAAAAAACACATAACTTTTCTAGTTTAGTTTATGATACCCAGCGATAAATGAAGCTGCCGTTTAGTATACAGAAAGTTAGTAATTTATTACAAATATTTTTATTTCTGTCAATCGAAATATGCACTCAATAGTAGGGGAGCCCAAGTGGCGATTTCGGGATTTACTAAAGCGCGACAGTTTAATATAAAGGGGCTACCTTGTAGGTACCCGACTAAGTACCTCCACCAAATATGAGCTCCATATATGGCAACCCGTCAAAAATATAGCACCAGATTAGTAAAAAAAATTGTTTTTCTGAAATTATCGAGAGCGTCAGATAGAGGTAGAGTAAGTTAATTACATGTTAAAAAGTGTATATTCTACTAATCTGACAATTTGGGAGCGACGTAAAAAAGGGGAGGGCTACAAAGAAAAAAAAACTCATCTCGACATTCTCGAGCGTGGCAAAAAATTTTTTTATCGATTTTTGATATCGAAAAATACATAATCTGACGATTTCCAAAAGCCGAAGTAACAAAAATTCGTCAATAAAGTTTAAAGCGTGTAGCTGCATGCTGTCTTTATTCTCTCACTCTTTCTCTATCTATTATTAGTGGTTACCGTTACTCATGGACCTACCGTTTAGTACCCTCCATAAACCTCGTTTGAAGAAGGACATGTCAAAGCGCTCGGGAAACACCGTGGAAGGAAGCTCATTCCAAAGCCGGATGGTACGTGGCAAAAAAGATCTCAGTGCGTTCACTGTAGACCAACGCAGTGGCTCCAGGTCCAGGTCCTTTTTACATTTTTCAATGCCAATCTATAGCCGCATCCCCCATAGATGAAAAGGTATAGACACTTTCCAATTCCTACAATCCCGCTTTTGCAGGCTAGCCGTCAGATCCCCGTGGTTCGTGAGGAACGTTGACCAACACGAGGACCTGGGCCTCGAATCAATCCGGAAACACATGAAGTCAGCGTCGGAACGGTACTTCGATAAGGCTATACGTCATGATAATCGCCTTATCGTTGCCGCCGCTGACTATTCTGCGAATCCTGATCACGCAGGAGCCAGTCACAATTGACGCCCTAGACACGTCATTGCGGATCCATCAGATACAATCCCTTGCATTAGATGCCTTTAGCTCTAACACTAGGAGTAGGGACCCAGGTAATCGTACTCGTCGAACTCGACAAAGAGTTTGACGTCCAACCTAACCTAAACATCATCTCGCTGAGTTTTTCTCGCCGGATCTTTTCAGCGGGTTGCGATTCCGATCCGGTAGTAGAATCTTTCGCGAAGCAGCTACTCTTGTCGTCGTCTAGTCGTCGTGGTCTAAGGGATAAGACGTCCGCTGCATTCGTGTTGAGCGATGCACCGATGTTCGAATCCCAGGCGGGTACCAATTTTTCTAATGAATTACGTACTCAACAAATGTTCACGATTAACTTCCACGGTGAAGAAATAACATCGTGTAATAAAAATGAAATCCGCAAAATTATAATTTGCGTAACTACTGGTGGTAGAACCTCTTGTGATTCCGCGCGGGTAGGTACCACCGCCCTGCCTATTTCTGCCGTGAAGCAGTAATGCGTTTCGGTTTGAAAGGTGGGGCAGTTGTTGCAACTATACTAAGATCTTAGAACTTATATCTCAAGGTGGGTGGCGCATTTACGTTGTAGATGTCAATGGGCTCAAGTAACCACTTAACACCAGGTGGACTGTGAGCTCGTCCACACATCTAAGCAATAAAAAAAATGACATAGAATCAATACCACAATATAAGGTCACAAATATTGTAATATCATCTACGCATCTTACTACTACTACGCAATTATATTTACTTAAATAACTCGCACTTTAAAGTGCGATATGACCGAGAAATGTTTCATTGAAATTCATTGAAATTGCAAAAAAATTATATCATTTTATCAACCAATTTACAAATCGAATCCATTCGATCATTAGTCATAACTTGTCTCAAATTTTAATTATCAATGAAAACTTGTAAAGATAAATAAAAGTACAAAACCACAAACATTTTTGGTTATTTTAAAAACCAATATAAGGGAAATAGTTATCTTTAATTTTCAGATTTGTTTGTTATACATAACTTCACGTATAGTTTAACCAATTGAAATTTAAAAAAAAATTACATCCGTTCTTTTGTACTTGAAGCAAACATTCTAGAATAGCAGATAACATTAACCATAATCGAATCGAGTACATCGAGTTAATACTCGATGTACTAAATAATCTTAATAGACTATTTAGCGAGTGAAGAGTGACTAGGATTCCCGAAAATTAGTGGTAATGGAAAAAAATAGATATAACGTAGATAAAAATTATAATACTTTGTAACAATGCCGATCCAATTCTATTCACTAAATCAGAAATTAATGTAACTAAATCATGTAATAAAAAAATATTTCAGGAATCTATGATGCGAGACCGAGACAAAATATCAACTCTTACACAAGAAGTTGAGTCTTTGAAAGCCATTGGACAGGTTTGTGGTTGAATTTCATTTTGAAAACAATGACACTGAGAAACTACAATCGATTTCATTCCGAAATTGTTTAGTTAATTGATAATGCATATCTGTCGTGGACGAAGTAAGTTCTTAAACGTTCTGTGTGCCTAGTGCGAGTTTTTAACGTTCTCGATAGCGTAAAAGTTAACTCAAGTTTGTATGAAGTTGGAACGTTTGCCTGCGTTTGCCGCTAGGGGCGCTGTTCCAAATGCATTAAAATTTTAGTTTACTTTTACGCTATCGAGAACGTTAACGAGAAAAAAATTTAAAAAACTCGCACTAAGCACACTGATTATTGCCGGATCTGCAAACGAGTAGAAACGTCATGTGAGAAGGAATACCTATAAACCCTCATCGGGCTTTCACTGTTGACGTCTTAACATTCCACATTTCACTTTGAGATCTGTTCTTAACAAACCGACCTTTAATTGCGGAGTTGCCTTCATACTTATATTCTGACAATGTCATTATGGCCTTACTGAAAATTCAAATAAAATTTTTGGATGTTTATAGTATTCAAATACAGAGGTTAATATTTTTTTATTAAAATTATACTTTTTACAGAAATATCTTCTTTTACAAGAAGAGCAACACATCTTGAAGACTAAATACAGCGAAGCACAAAAAACTTTAGAAGAAGTTGGAGCCACGCTCAGCGAGAACAAACTTCAGCTAGCTGAGTTGTTAGAGAAGGAATCATTGGCAACTACCACAGAGGAAACACCCACTTGGGCCAACGATAAAGACGCGACGGCTTGCGCTACGTGTAATAAGGAATTCAATATTACAAGACGGAAAGTAAGTCATCATTAAAATTATAACTGACTAGCTGTACCCGCTTCGCTGGGCATTTAAAATTAACATTATTATTTCTCACCCCGACAAAGATTCTCAACATTAACGCCCCCGCAACTCTGGTGTAGGGTGTCCAACACTCATATAAATATTAGCCTATCCATTAAGTACATGTATTTTCTACATGGATACCAAGTTTCAAGTCAATCGGATGCATGGTTCAGTAGTTATAACGGAACATCCGTAAAAACCACTGTAGATTTATATATTAGTATAGATACATGACGTTCCCATTTTCGCACCATAGTTTCCCTTTGTAGAAAACCTCACAATGAAATAACTCTCTGTTTACTATTTACCTGTTTTAAGAACATGATGCCTTAATTAAATAAACTGCCGAAGAACCATCAAGGTACGATAACTATTAATACATCGGAAACGGACTTTACTAGTTTCCTATATAAATAAATATAAACTTTTCTATATATCAGATGGGGGAAATGTTTATTCGTTTTTTTTATTTTTATTGGAACAGATGGTGCGGTTTATTTTGACATTAAATGTTATAAAAAACAAAATAATTTTTATTATAATTAATATTTATTTACTATTTAATTTTTCAGCATCACTGTAGGATGTGTGGTCTAATATTTTGCGCAGCTTGCAGTGATAAAACTGTTGCATTGACTGGCAACACCAAACCTGTTCGTGTTTGTGGTGCGTGCTACACGGAAGCTGTCCGCCACACAGAGTAATTAGTTGTAATCTAATTATAATTACGCCGGCCGAATGACCAGAACGCGAGACCATGATTAATAGAGTTAATTGAATGTTATTGACTATTAAATTGGTTAATTGGACAGTGCCTTTGGGATAAATTTTAGTGTTCTTTTTATACTAAAGCATATTTAAAAGTAACAGTTAAAATAGGCGTTATTTTCCATTGCGATTCTATTTGTGGATATATTATGGCAATAATAAAGAGGAATATTTTTTGGTTAACAGACATATGGCATCTTTTATTATTATGTGAGCTAAAAACATAAATACAAATTTAAATATATCTATCTATCTTCATGTTTTTTTTTTTTTATTTCAATTGTAAACCTAAGCGATACTGTTAACACTAAACCTATGTTTTTAAATTACTACTACATTTGTATTTACTATTATTAATTATGGTGCAGATGTTTTATAATAATTGTATGGTTAGACACAAGTACACTAAGCACAAGCATGCAAGCAGCAACAATGTGGAATAAATCAGACAAGCGTGTTATTTGTGTTTTTTTTTTACATTGGATGGATAGACGAAACATACTAATGATCGTCAGTGGTCACCGCTGCTCGTGGACGTCATCAATCTGACTCGAAGGAACAAAATATGTTGTAGCATTTACTACACCGTATGCCCACATGGTCGCCTCGTTTAGAGGACATAATTTCATTAATTGTCGTGGTGTGTCCTAAACAAATGCTTAAATTAAGTAAGTAACTTATAAAATAGTCAAATGCTATTAAATCCACAATAGCTGAGCGTTGTCATTTTTTGATTGAATTTTATATTTCACACGAATATTTGAGAGCCCGTTTTGGGTTCAAAATCCATTCTGTCGGCTTACATTTTATAGATTATAAGGCGTAGTGCATATAGAAATTGTATTTTTTATTATTAAATATATTTGTTCACGTTAAATGTAATCTGTGTTTAATATTGTACATAAAATTTTATAATTTTGTTGAATTCGTTAAACAATAAATTGAAATCAATATTCAAATAACGTTAGTGAGTTTTATCATTTGACCGTGCATCTTGAGCGACATAGAACATTATTTTGTAACTATTTCATTTTATCTATATATTTTTATTACAATATTAGAAAAAAAAAGAAAAGTAGAATACAATAAATAATTTTCATTAGTTTTACATTACACATAAAACTGTACAATGGAATATACGTCTAATAATGACTTTTCTAAATTATAAATCTCTAAATTATAAGTACCTCGAGCTAAAGGTTCGTAAATCGATCTTAAATTAATCTAATTGTTCTCAGTAAGGAGATATTTTAAAATATGTTCCATGGCTTCGGGGTTATCTTCTGGAACCCAATGTCCGGCACGAAAGACAGACCAAAAACTAAGTTGCTCCATTTCTTTATAATATCCATTATTTGTGCCCCGTATGTGATGTCGTACCGCCTTCGTGAAATTCTCTTTAAGAGGCCAGTTCAGTTTGTGAACCCAGTTTGAAGCACCTGTATCGGTTTTTAAATAGGATAAGCTTTCAAGTTTCATGCCCTGTACAAGCTTTAAATGCAAATGAAAAATGCGAAGTTTGGAAATCCATGTTCCTATGATGGTCCCCAAGAAAACAAGTGTTTTTCATTTCCTGCTTTTTCAATACTTAGTAAATTACTTCGCATAAATCAAACATGAATTAAAAGAAAAAAAAATACCAACCTGCTAACGGAGTAACCACGTCGAAGTTTCCGTTGTAAATCACAACCTTCAAATTTGTCTTGCTCAAAATTTTCTCCACTGAAAAAATAACGTTTTCAGTTGAAAAATTTATACTAATATTATAAAGAGGAAAGATTTGTTTGTTTGTATTGAATAGGCTCCGAATCGACTGAACCGATTTAAAAAAATCTTTCACTGTTTGGAAGCTACACTATTCCTAATGTAAATTCCTAAAACTCCTATAATGTAACTCAAGGTGTAAAAAAATTACCTAAAATATTTTTTACATCGCGTGCCCTGCGAAAACTATTGATGATAGAATAAAATAATGTACTATGCCTTTGTAGAACACATTATTATTTACAAAAAGTGTCGCGACAGCATATGTCTAACTATCATAGTTATGCCGCAATAAATGTTATTTTATTTAAAACAAATAAAACAACGTCAAATATCGTTGAAATTTTTGTTAATGACCCGAGCGGAGCCGGAGCGGGCCGCTAGTAATATTATAAAATAAATCAAAGAGCTCGTTAATTATATTCAATACTTACAAAACGAGAAAGACGGAACAAGAAGACTTCCTTTTAAACTATCATAAACATCTGTATTTAAGTATAGCCAATTAATTGTTTGATTCACCAATTTTAATGTCGGCTTAACATATTGGTTTACATAGAGATTAAGTTTCACCAATGCCGGGTAAGGGCTGAGACCATAAATATTATTGAAGTTTAGAAATTCGTCTTCGTTCAGCTTTTTGAAGAGCATGAAGTCCACTTCGTGTGCTTGAATATAATCGTTTTTGTCCATCAAACTTATCAATTCGTGAGCTATGCGTGAAGAGCTCAGATATAAATCTCGATCGATTGCTCCCTGTAAACATTGATTTCTATCTGGTTTATTATGCATCCAGTAATCCGTCAAGGAATTACGTCTTTCATTATGTTGTTCGAAATTAACCTATCGTCATCGGTATGTCATGGTCTAAAAACATAATCCGAAACGGTAATAATATGCTACCTATACACAAAAAAAATATTAATTTTCTAAGCCACGCATTAATCCGTAAATTGTATCTTTATAATTATAAAGAAGGTACTAAATTAGTCTTCGTTTTCGGTATTCTTTTTCAGGGGCTAACACAACATTGGAAAACTAAAGTAACACTTATTATTTGCGTAATCACCCGATCACACATACTCGCTAACAATAATGGTTTTAAAGTACACTGCTGCTCTTTCTGCTATTGCGTTTCAGGTAAGTTAATTTATTTATAATGTAACACATTGTATTTGAAACAGATTCATGCTTACTAACGGTATGATAAAGAAACCGTGGCGTTACTAAAGTGCTCTCTTTAGGATTGACCCAACCACCTCCAATACCGATACCTTTAAAGTTCATTTTTAAACTCTTTTTCTTGATAGCCTGAAAAAAAAACAAATAAACCTTTTGAATGTTTATACGTAATTTGTATAACAAAATAGATAACCGGTTATTCACATACCGTATATAAATAAACCGCTAATCTTGGACACAATTTACCGCCGTAACTCTGACCAATCACATACGCAGGAGTTTTTCGGAAAACTTTGTGTTTTTTGAAAAATTGTTTAATAGCTCGTGAGAGGTCAATTGCTGAAATCAAAACATTCTTCTATCATTATATAGAATACAATTTATTTTGTTGCGATGAACATAATATGAATGTATGATCCAGGTGATGTTAAACTGTCACTGGAGCCCATAAATACCATACTTTTCATTTCTTTTATAGCATGGACGACTCACAAGAAATCATACGACTATAATTAGATAGATTATATTAAATGTAGCTTTATTTTAATTACACGATGTTTATTCCTTTATCGTGGTAGTCATTCGTGAATACGTGTAAATTAAGTTTCTTTCGTGTAAATATGTTAGGTATCAGCGGGATTTGCACACTGGCATTGACGCATTGTTCGATACGAGTAGGTACACCGTGTATCTCATCCTTTTGGCTACACGATTTCAAAATATTAGTTATTTTATTTATTATTATTATTTTATTTCATAGAAAAATACCTAAATACAACACTAAAAAGACAGAAAATCTTTTTAGAAATGAGGAAATTATAAGCGTTATACTTTCATGTTACGCAGGAATACTACATATTGACGTCAATGTTCATATCCGTCTTATCGATCCCATAGCAAAACTGCTTTTATAGAAAACAGATTTTCATTCAATTGCCAGTGAAAAAACAGGACTAAACTTGAGAATTTAAATTATATATATTCAAGATAAGTACCTATTGTATTCACATTGATTTGATTCTGTCTACTGGTTTTACGAATATAATTACGACATGAGTTAACTAAGCTACAACAGATCAATTGTCGTGAACAAATAATCTAGCGCATAATATAACTTTATTTTAAATGTACATACAATAAAGAACTTTGAGAATAACTAACAACAGTTGAATGTGGCCATTCTCGCTTTCTTGTTGCTTCTTGTATGAGATATTCATGCTACTACTGCGCCACACATACACGCGAAAAAATCGCAAATTAACCCATAAAAAACTATGAACAACATAATTTCGTTTACCCATTTGTTGATCTGTTTTCACAAAAAGATCTTTACTTGTGACGTAACTAAATCCAGCGCCTACGGGGTGGTCAATAAGTAATAAATTCCTTCCTTTTACCTGTAAGCGAAAACTCGATATAATACAGACTAGATAATAATAATATACAGAAACATTTACCCCTGTCTAATCATCTTTATTCAACAAATCATTGAAAATAAATGTTAAGAAATTTACACAATAATTTCTGATTATTCCTATTTTAATGTATACAACTTACCCAAGTATGATTCCTTGGTTGCATATCCATCGTCAGGGGGCCGAATTCGCCAAAATTACCTACGCCACTAGCGGCAAAACCAGGACCTCCTTGGACCCATATTATAAGAGGCTTTCGAGATGCGTCTTTCTTCGTCCCGTCCGCGTAAAAAAACCAATAAAAAAGGTGTGCACCTGGTCGAACTTCTACATAGTCGTGTATGGAGTTTTGTGCTAAATAATTCTCATTTACGGCCCGCAAATATGGATTTTCTGTAATATAACCATTAGTTTATTTAATATCTTAATTAGTATAAAATATCTCTTGGGAATAACATTTTATAACCATGGCTGTTTTCGCACTATAGTTGGGTCGACATAACCCATGTTATGTCTCATATTGTGATTCAATTTGGTCTTTCAAGTTCTTAGCAATTAGCATACTAAACTTCATACTACGACCGGAAAATTCTGAATTAAAATATAGTAGTATCTTGGATATTCAGTCCCATATAATACTAAAGCTATAAATATAATTAAAAATTTTATAATTACCTTCAGGTGCAAATTGGCTAGCAATGCAGAATGTTGCGAAAAAACAAAAAAATAATTTTACTAGCATTGTGTGTTTTACAAAATATACACAAGCACTTCCTAATTTACAAGTGCGCTTTGGCACCGCTCTAAAACGATTAACCACAATTAAACGCACAGCACAACGTGATGATATCATAACACCTAATTAATTAATGAGGTAAACGAAAAATGTACATGAACAAATCCGTAATTTTCATCACGTGCTTTTCATCAAGAAAAATATTGGATTAACTTGGTCACCATAGCTAGTCAACAAGACTGACATGAAATTTTTGCGCATCGTATTATGTAAAAGTTATTTCATACAAATGTTACGAAATCGTGTTCGATTTATGCCTTTTGCAATTACAATTGACATACAATAGAAGGCTATATAATCAGTTGACCTTTTGAGCTGAGTTGCTTCTAAAATAGAGTTTAAGAATAAAAAACGTTTCAGATTTTGTTTCTTTATTTAAATAGCAAATCAATAAAAGAGCCGAGTATATTATTTTCGTTGTTTTTCCTCAATCGCGGGTAATATGTCGTTGGTGTAGGTTCCGTGTCATAAGCATAATAGCTAGGAGTTCTGGACGAAGTTACATCGTACTGTGTCGGTTTTCGAGTAGGCTTGGCTGGCGAAACGCCAACCACATGATTCAAGGGCCCACCTACAATATTTGGAATATAAATTTCTTGAAATTGTTGGCTATTGCTTTCGTGGACAGGTTTTACATAGTCTGAAAAATATGTTTATGGTAGTCTCTGTGCTTTGAATCTACATACACTTAGTTGTTTGTATCCTAAAAATTTCCAAGTCGTGGATATGATGAAAATCAAGACTTACGAATAGGAAATAAATAAAATTAGCAACTACAAACATAGATTTTGTTCAGAATCAAAGACGATTGAAAGATAACAGTAAGTTGACTTCTAAAATGTCAGGAGTTTATAAACTAATGTTAAAAAATACAGGTTCAGCCTCATGTGGGGTACAGTCCCGATATCTAGGACAGTGTCCCAAGTACCAATTATTTCAATTTGACGCCATAAAGAATAGAGCCGTTCCGATGATCAATTATAACCATACCTCACTGATCGCTTGGGATCTTTGGGTTGACGGAAGTTCATTGATTCTCTCTATGCTTTATAGTGTGCCATATTTCATGAAGAGTAAATACTACGAGTAACTCATACGGCTACCTAGATAATATTATTTATTAAAAATTAATTTTAAAATGTTGACAGAAAAGTTTCGTACTGCAAATAGGCTGAGAGGTTTTTAATTGCATTACACACCTGAAATTTATAAATAGATGCTTAACAAATTGTAAGTAAATAATGAGAACATCGCATTATATCCGTTCACCGGAACCGTTTACATCAAAGATACCATCTCTTACGACAAATAAGATTCAAATACACATGACTTGACCGTAAAATATAAGTGTGGTACCACAGGAGTAAGGCACCATTATAACTATTTCTAGTTCCAGGTGATAGGTGTATCAACAACCTCCCAATAAGACACAGAAAATAATCTAATCATATAAACTTACCAGATGGATGTTGTATCGGTTGCGGTCTATATGGATTATTACCGAAGTATCCTCCTGAGAAGAAAGGTGGTCGAGTAGAAGGATACATTGGCTTCTGAGGACGGGTTGTCACCGACGATATTGTAGGTTGGGAATGGGGTGGTCTATTTAAGAAACCGTTAAAATAATTGCGATGGCCGTGTCGTTGTTGACGCCTCTGTGATTGCTGTGTTACTGTTAAAAGGTGTAGTAGAACTTATAAGATCGGGTACACAAAATATTATATGTTTATTTACTTATAAAGTGGACGGAAAAAGACCACGAGGTAGCGGCCCGACACGTTGGACTGACCAGACCCGCACTACCCTCGACACCACGGTTCACGATGTTCTACACTCGGCGGCAGATAGAGGCAATTGGCGTGGAATGATCCGGAATACACTCTTGTTGCGAGTCGGTGGTTATGATCCTCCGCATTGAGGAGACCGAAGCAAGAAGAAGAAGAATTTACTTATAAGAAAAACAATGTGAATTGTTGATGAATGAATAAATTAAAAAATATCTTACTAGAACTTAAATCATTTTCATCGTAATCTTCTATTTCACCACAATCATTTGCATCATCTTCTTGAGGGTTTTCTTGTAAATCATTAAATGGAGAATTACTATTCGAATAATTCGGAGCTAACAAATCATAGAAAGCTCCAAAAGTACGACCAGTATACTGATTATAACTCGCAATTTTTCGATGAGGAGCTATTTTATTCGTCGGGCATAATGGATTAACAGTTATTGCTTGTAACGAAGCAACTAGAAGTACCTGAAGCAAAAACGAACAACATGCGTTAATCTTACTGTGATTGCGTAAGTAAATATTAGTTAAATGTACAACAGAATAGTAAACTTATTATTCTAAAATAATACAATAAGATAATACAATATAAACAATACGATATAATGCTAATTGAAGTAATTTTGACCTTAAAAATGAATCCTTTCGTATGTCTTGTAACTCGTAACGATAAGAACTTATAAACATACGTATATGCTATAAATACAAACACATACATATAATATATAATATCTGTGAGTGTTTTTCTTTTATAAATTCGAAACGCTAATTATATCTGACTGATTCATCGACGCAGAGTCAACCCTGCTGGTCTAAAAAAATTACTTTTTAAACTTACTATTTTGGCCAATTTTAACCTTCCTGTATTGAGTAGGTATTATGCGTTATTTTTTATAATTGCACCGCCAAAGAGGTATAATAAGATATCAAATGTCCGTTATTCTCAAATTAGAGCATAAACTTTCACATCCCTGCTACTAGTTAAAAATAAAATAAAATAGTTAAAAATACAAGTACCGGCATGTCTTTGAATATTTCTATTCGTCTCAATTAGATGTTGAAAGCTTACGAGGGAAATTAGTAAATTTTGAAAAAAGTGTCATAAATATTGATATTAAAGCTTCGTATTTATCGGAATATAGCTTAGAAAAAACTACTTTAATCAAGAAGGTCCAATTTTTGCCTTTCTATGGAAACATAAAAATATGTCATAGTTTTAAACTTCCACAGCAATAATATTACACAATTGTAAGATATATAACAACGACAATTTAATGTTAAAACAATCATTTTCTTACCGAAATAAAAATAATTGTACAACGATTAAACGATATCATCCTCGAAACTTTATATATTAACAATATAACTTAAAACAAACTTTTCACGATGAAGGCCCAAAAATGTCTGACATAAAACCAAATTAGCATTGCTAAAACAGCTCGGTAAATGACAAGTCCCACGCCAAAAGATCCAATTTTTTGGGCAATACCCAGTCCATTATAGAAAAGTTGTGTACAACTTACGAAATATGTGACGGTAACAATTCAACCCGCCTAGTTTTTCAAAAGTTAACTTAATATAATAATATAAGCGCTTGGCATTTTATTTTTTATTTTCTTATATATATTTTCATTATTGAGCGTTACGATTTTTAAAATTAAGAATTCTCAAAATTATTCCATCTTACCCCATCAAACTAGTTTACAAAGCTGTGAACTTAAAAAAATAGGAAAAAAAATTTACAATGACGTAATAAAAACCACACATACCCATTCGACAAAGGCCTAGCAAATAAGACTGCACCAGGCGGCCTTTATCTAGTGTCAGCAAAGACTCCAAGCGGAGCCCCGTGAGCTCGCCTACACGTCCGGTGAATCTAGAATAACCCCACGAGGTTTCCACCATAGGCAGGTCTTTATTAATTGAAGCAGGCAAAATGAAAAATTCGGATCATGTCATTGTGTTAAATTTTAACTAAATACCTCCACAATATTTACTTTTAAGACCTTAAAATTACGCCATTGCTGCAGCTACCATTGGTCGATACCAATCTTTGAACCCCATTACTTTCCTCGGTATAACGGTGGCCGAGAAACGATTACTGGTAAGGACCCTTGTTAACCCTTTTTTGTTCGAGTAGGGAGCCGAACCTCATACGAGGTTTCCGAGCCTAGGGGGCGTGCAGTGTATTTGGGACTTGACGGTCTGCAGATGTTGGGAACAGACCGCAACTTGTAAGCCTGCAGAGATAGGTACCATCACCCTGCTGATTTCTGTCGCTATTAAAGGTTGGAACAGACTTTATACTACATATAAAACAGACTTATAACTAAATTCTCAAGGTGGGGGGGTGGCATTTACGCTGTTGATGTATATGAGATCTGGTAACCACTTAACACCAGGTGGGCTGAGAGCCCTTTCAGGCGTCTAACCAATAACAAAAATCATTTTAATCGAGAAAAAAACCTAAAAACATTAAGATTAAATGACCCTTTTTTTACTCCAGTGTCTCCAGAGAAGAAGAGAAAGACCGAGAAAAACGCAAGACCCGCACCGCAAAACCGAAATAGACCGTGGGCAGCGCACAGAAGCCACCTTATGAAACCACCTTAGTCATCATGGCCTGAAGGATAAAGACGTCCGGTGCATTCTTGTTGAGCGATGCATCGGTATTCGAATCCCAGGCGGGTACCAATTTTTCTAATGAAATACGTACTCAACAAACGTTCATGATAGACTTTCACGGTCAAGGAATAACATCGTGTAATAAAAATCAAACCCGCAAAATTATAATTTGCGTAATTATGGGTGGTATAAGGTTTTTTTTTATTGCTTAGATGGGTGGACCTGGTGTTAAGTGGTCACTGGAGCCCATAGACATCCACAAGGTAGATGCGCCACCCACCTTGAGATATAAGTTCTAAAGTCTCAAGTATAGTTACAACGGCTGCCCCACCCTTCAAACCGAAACGCATTACTGCTCCACGGCAGAAATAGGCAGAGTGGTGGTACCCACCCGCGCGGACTCAAAAGGGGTCCTACCACCAGTAATTACGCAAATTATAATTTTGCGGGTTTCATTTTTATTACACGATGTTATTCCTTCACCGTGAAAGTCAATCGTGAACATTTGTTGAGTACGTATTGTTTAGAGCAATTCTGAACATGAAGTTTGTATAACGATTTTTTTAATTTAGAAACAGAATAATAATTTTGACAACACAGTCATTGTAAGTCAATCAACAATTCAGGTCGTACGTGCACGTGTTATAACTACATTAAAATAAAATAAAAATAACCTTCTCTCTGAATATATCGAATTATTGAAGCGATCAGCACAAATTACAGTCCACGCTCTACACACGTATTTCATTAGAAAAATTGGTACCCGCCTGAGATTCGAGCACCGGTGCATCGCTCAACACGAATGCATCGGACGCCTTATCCGTTAGGCCACGACGACTTCAAAGTTTGGTTCCGATTGCGTTCCGATACGTATCGTGGATTTCATGTCTATAGGCTACGGTAGTCACTAATGAGCAACAAAATAAAATAAAAAACTAGAAAGTCCTCAGATCATTCCCCAGCTAGTGTATACACAGAGAGAACCAAAGTTCAAACCATCAAAAGATGTAAGTAAGTATTCAAATATACAGGAACAGCAAAGCAAATTATTTGAAATCATATAGTTTTCGTCTTTCGTAATTCAAATCCTTATAAAAAAGACAGACTGACATCAATTTGGCAATACATATTCCCATAAACGAATGCAGCCGGTTTCCAAAACTTTTAATATAGTTACGAAATCTGACATTTGTTTCGTTTTGAATAAGTGACAAAATAACGTCAAATCATCGATGCGACAAATCATTAATAATCAATCAATATGTCATCAGTCATATTAACAACTAGCGGCCCGCTCCGGCTCCGCTCGGGTCTTTAACAAAAATGTCAACGATATTTCACGTTGTTTTATTTTTTTAAATAAAAGAACACTTATTCCGGCATAACTATAATAGTTAGACATATGCTGTCGCGACACTCTTTGTAAATAATAATGGGTTCTACAAAGTCGTAGTACATTATTTTATTCTATCATAAATAGTTTTCGTAGGGCACGCGATGTAAAGAATGTTTTATGTAATTTTTTTACACATTAGGTTACATTATTGAAGTTTTAGTAAGAATCTTTAATTTTTTTCAAAAAAGATTTAGCCTATGTCACTCGGGAATAGTGTAGCTTCCAAACAGTGAAAGAATTTCCCAAATCGGTTCAGTAGTTTCGGAGCCTATTCAATACAAACAAACAAACAAATCTTTCCTCTTTATAATATTATATTATATATAGTATAGATAAAAAGATATTTAAAATAAGTGTTTTTTTAAGGGATTTTATGACCTGGTAACTAAGACTTTTAGGTCAAGTCTTATTTTAATTTTAATGATACGTAACTTTTTTATAATATGAAAATGATATTGAAATGAAATGAGATGAGATGGGGATAAAGTATAATCTCAGTAAAATGGTAGTCATTTACTGAGACTTTTTCAGTGAACTATTTAGAAGATTCCGAGAAATTACGTTCAGTGGCTTTGTTTCATTTTCCCACATTTGTGCACTTTCACAGATATTAAACAATTAATAAACCACAATATTACACATTTAAACCTGAAGAAGCTCTAAATAGACAACATAAAACAATTCACACAACTTCACTCCTCGCGTTCCCGCCAAAAAGTCAATTATATACTCGACATTAGCAGCAATGGCATGGCATCGCAAGAAACCAATTGCCATAGTCAAAAAAAGAAGAAAAGAAGCCTGGCGTTCTACAAGTTCAAAAACGCTTCAGAAACTGTAGGGTTCGTCTTGGACATTGTTGTTCTTCTTTTATAAGATTAGGATACGTGATAATTCCCTGTGATTCTGGTAAAATGCTTGTCACAATTGGAGACTTCTTCATTTTCGTATGTTATCCATTCCTCTATTGTAAAAAATTATTTGTAAAAATTATATGTCCATGAATAATCAGATCACTATATAGTGTATATTTTAAGCGGAACTCGCCAAAACCATTGGCAAATTGCTATAAATGAATACTAAAAAAAAACACATTATATAACCGCATACCGTTTTTTCACTTCACATTTGGAATAGAAAAGATACCACTGAGTTTTCTGAAACATAAACTCTGTTTAAAACTCCATCGTGGGTTCTACATCCCGTTAAAAAACAATTTAATTACCTAGTTGATTCACAACATCGTCCTACTCACCAAACTAAATAAAGAAAGAAATTAGGAATAGCAGATTGCTTCATCGATTTAGATAATGTGCAATTTATTTGAGAAGAATGATATTTAATAGTAGTATGAAATCGGTCACCGATCCTCAATTGCCACGTTGCCAGTGCCGCAATAATAAAAAAAGTCATCGATCTTCAATGGAATTAAAAGTGCACGATACGATCCAATAATATGGATACAAAATTTTGAGTTCTATTTCTTGAGTTGAAAAATGGCCAAAAGACACGGCAGAGTTTATTTAGGATATGAAGAAGAATTTATAGCCGAAAAAAATCAAACCTTAGTCAATTACAGTGTCAACAAAATTGGTGGTCAGCCTGTACGTTTGCTTTGTAAATAGTGCAAACTTTACGTACTAGCCGCGTTTATTTTCGTTAAATTAAACCTTATTATTTTTATCTTTAGAATTGGCCACCGTTGGAAAATTTTCAATATTCTTTTAAATGTCCGCTTTGTGGACTACATCGGCTACTGGTTATACAATGCTATGCTCCTTTGGAAAATTCTGTTTACCACCGAACTTTATATGTTTTTGCCTGCATCAATCCCAATTGCTGGATCCAATCAGAAAGGTATAATTTATACACAGAAATTTATACAGTGTAGTTAAACCTCAGTAGGGTATACTTTATTAAAACTAATAAAATAAATAAATAGAACATAAAAAATTTAATTTATAAAAAATGATTTCTTCTTGTCTCTATTAGCGACTTCTTCTACATATTACTTAGTTTTTCCTACATTTACCATTGACATAAATTATTTCTCTTCTGCAATGTATAAATATGAGCAATAGTTGTATCTTTTAAATGAGGTTTGTTTTTTTGCTTTCAGATTTATTATTGTATAAATGTAGTTTTTCCCTTTATTGTGTACCTATCCTCAAAATCTTATGCTGAAGATTTTTTTTAATAAGTAGTACCTTTGTATGAGATTTAATAAATATCAAATGTCAATACATATATAAAGTAATATTTTTTAATATTCATTAAAAAATTATTTATTAAAAAAACTTATTAATTATTATAAAAGAAATATATAAAATTAGCTCACTGAATTTCTCACTGGATCTTCTCAGTAGGTCATGTTTTCAATCTGGTGGTAGATTCTACAAAGCACTGTTCTTGCTAGGGCCAGTGTTAGCAATGCCTCCTGGTTTGAACCCCGAGAGCTCACCTGCATGTTAGGGTTACACTGACATAGCCTCTCATGACTATCAGCTTAGTAAAAAAAAAACGTTAATATAAAAAATCAGCTTAGGTAGAAAAAAAAAGGTTTTTTTTATCCTGGTGGTCTTGATCAAGTAAAATTAAGCCAAAATAATAAAATTATTTTATTGTCGGTCCTTGATATGTTAAAATTTTGTTGATAGATTCCAGTATATAGAAACATACCAATCGAGTTAATAAAGGGACAAGATAAAAATGTATCAAAAATATTTGTTTTTTTAGCTGGTTATGTTTACGTATGCAATATGAAGATAAAAAGACTAAAGAGGCAAGTGCAATAGTTGCAATACCAAATCTAGAAACCAACTTAAGTTGGTGTAGTGGTGCAGACGAGTGGGATGAAAATGATAATGATGACTCAGCTAACGGAAACCTGATGAGTGTTGACAATGACCCTAGCCCCAATAATGTTGTGCAAAGGTAACAGATATTTTCCAACAATGATTGCTTATGAGTGAAATATTACGACATCATTGGTATAATGTAGTAAAATATGTCTTATAAATGTAAATTTAAAATATTTCTAACTAAAATGTGTTACAGAATTTCTGATGAAGATGAAGAGAGCAATTCCTATGAACTCGAAACTGTCGAACAAGCCCTTGGGAACCTCCAAATGTTTGATGCTCATAATGCAAATATGTCCCCAGTTCAAGGTATAATTTTTTATTTCCTACCTTTCCTAGTAACCTCAAGGGGTTATACCAAGTTTGCCAAATGTGTAGCTTTTGGGTCTTAGCTTAGTACTGCAAGGTACAAATGAACAATTTATGTTGTTATGAGTTTTTATTAACTTAGCTCTTTAATGTGTAAAATCGACATCATTTATTCTAAATAAAAAACGGTTGGTAATTGTAATTACCCTGAAGCAGTCATGTTTCAGCTTGAAGCTCAAATATGATTGAAATTTCAACGTTTGGTCCCTAGGTGGGCTGTGAACTCATGTCTGGTATTATTATTTTTATATGTCTGAGCCGGGGCTCCCAAATACCACCTACTTCCATTTGACTCCATACAGAAGAGGATTGTTCGGATTTTCAATAACCCCATTCTCATGGAGCGTTTGGAACCTCTGGGTCTGCAGAGGGACTTCGCTTCTCTTGGTATATTGTCCCATATGTTCCATGGGGAGTGCTCTGAGGAATTACTTGAGATCATCATCTCAAGCAATTCCTCAGAGCACTTGTAGGGTTGGTCCTTAACATCTGTGAATATTATGAATCTCGATAATCTCAAAACACTTGGACGAAATTACCATGACCAACCTAAGTTATGAAAAATTATAATGTTGAATTATATAATGTATGTTTGAATTGAATAACTAGGTGCAGTTGGTGCAATATCTGCTCCTATCGCAGCAGCCGAATTAGAAGGTGGAGATGAATCAGGCTTAGTCACTGTTGATACACCAACTATGCCTTCAAGAGATATAGAAACTTTATTGCATAAGGTATGAAATGATTTTCTCCATCTGACATTATCAGCTGCTTTGACCAATATTTAGTTTAGTGTTCCTACATAATATGTTATTCATCATGCTGAATGTTACAATCAATTTTGGGTTACAGGAAGATCAAGAAAATTAGAGATTCGAAAATATTAAGAATCGTAAATAATCTTAAAATTCTGATCGTCTAAGTTTAATGGGTTCATGCCATAAATGTGATATTTGAATCTTTCTACCCTATTTCTATTTTATATAATAGACATATAGCCGTTTTTCAGTACAATTAAAAGTCTACATATTGCCCACATGTCATGGTGCCTAAGGCTGGTAGAGTACGCGTCACTTAAAAAGAACGCTGGCGGTCAAGCTGCGCAGTAGGCTATTTATCGATGTATTTGGTGGAATGAGGTGCGGCGCGGGGCGGGCGGGTCACCTGCCGCATGCTTGCCGGTGTGCTATTGGTTCGTCAGTCGACCTTTGCTTTCCGCGCTAGGTTCATGTTACGTTCGTTCTCAAAATACTATCGGGCACATAAGTTTTAATTACAAAATGGTTTTACATAGAAAAGTGAGAAAAATGATTTATGACGTATATTGTTTTATGAAGAAAGAGGCTGATAATAATGCAGTTGATAATTTGAAATAATGCATGAAACGGACCGCAGTGGCAACAAAATCATCCGAGTCTAATTTAATTTTTAGGGTTCCGTACCTCAATAGGAAAAAAACGGAACCCTTTGATCACTTTGTTGTCCGTCCGTCCGTCCGTCTGTCTGTCTATCTGTTCGTATTCAGATTAAACATTAAACGCAGAAATTAAACATGTTTTTAATTTTATTTCATAAAAATCTATCTAATATATTATTTTTAATGTACATACCTACCATGTACGATCTTCCCACCGTACAATTTTATTATAGTTAAGGATTGCCGACCACCAACAGTACCAGAACGTCATGCTTACTCGCGATGCGATCCGCTTTTTGCCGCGTGACAACAAATAATGTAATATGAANAACGCAGAAATTAAACATGTTTTTAATTTTATTTCATAAAAATCTATCTAATATATTATTTTTAATGTACATACCTACCATGTACGATCTTCCCACCGTACAATTTTATTATAGTTAAGGATTGCCGACCACCAACAGTACCAGAACGTCATGCTTACTCGCGATGCGATCCGCTTTTTGCCGCGTGACAACAAATAATATAATATGAAATTTAATTACAGTCAAGAGAGTGCATCACTAGCTATCGTACAGTTCACATCAAGAGAAATTATCATTTTTATAACTTTACCTAAACTTTAACTTTCATAAAATACTTTAACTTCAAACTTATGATATCTTTCTACGCTCTCCTGTAACATGTAACTACATACAGCTACAAGAGTACAGAACTACTAAACTGTACATACCTATAACCAATATACGAAGTCGCGAGCAAAAGATTACTTCAAAAATAAAACAAAAGTACTTAGTATTTTCGTGCGCGAGTGTATCCATGCGCAAACACACCCCCTCCACTTTCTTCCAGCGTTCTTTTTACGTGACGCGCGCTCTATGTCATGACTAATGGTGCCTAAGGCTCCCGTAAAATTCTTTTATCAGATGGACACATATCTTGTCAGCCTACCTAAATAAATCTGCAATGAATAGGGCTACGAAATTTTAATAGTTCATATTTCCAGACAGCTGAATTACCAGGGGACTTGAGAAGCCGTCTTATGTGCGCCCCAATGCAATTTACACCAAAATATATTTATGTAGAGGAAGAATGGAAAATTTCTGGTAACCAAGATGACAAAGTTAATGAACTACTTAATAAATATAGCAAAGAAAATGGTGAGTCTTTTCATTTTTATCTCGTAAGTACTACACAGAGTGTTACATAAATTATGTCTCTATCTGTGAGTACCATAGTAATCAATCATGAGCATTTTGAAAAAACAAACTTAGGTGACATTTACAAGTTAAATAATTGGTGGTTCTCAACTGAAGATTCTCATTACATGTTTATGCAATAATCATCATCTAGAAGGAAAAGTATTTATTTTTCACTTATTTCATATTTCTATATATACATGAAGCAAAAACATTGTACCCCTTTTTACGAAAATCCGCGATGAGAAGGAGTGCATAATGTTAATATATTTTATTAAATTAAGCATAAAAAATACATTAATTTCATAAAAAAACATTACACACACAACCATGTGTTTAACACACACACACATACATGCATACTATTTGTTTATTGTCAAACGTTTCTTATTGTTTATAGTCCCTATCAAATTGAGAATAGACTAAATATTTGTCTAAAGTGTAGTCTTGGCGAAATTTGTAATTATAGAAGTTTATTAGTCTTTGGCAATAGAATCATATAGTGTATAGTCCCCGGCACGTAACTTGGCAAGAGTCGCTAGATTCGCAGAAGTCGTTTTTTAGGTCTCTTTGGTTGTCAAGCGGGGCGTGGGGAAAGACGTAGCACCGTTCCGAGCGCGCGATTGGTGAGTCAGTCGACCCTCCCCTCCCGCACCGCGTCCACGTACCGTTCGCTCCCGGTTACACATGCGCCTATTAAATTGTAGGAACCCTTTGTTTATATTGAGTTTTTAGTTACGCGTTTTTATTATTGTTTTAAATTTAGTTTTTGTTACGAGTGCTATTGTTTTAAGATTGTTTGTAATGCCAGGACCAAATACCAATGACCATATAGTTGATTCAGTCACTGAGTGTTTTATTATTTACGCCAGTGACGACAGCGACTCCTCGTTATGTCGACGATGAGGAGCCAACTCCTTCCACCAGCTCAGGTGCTACCATAAATTTAATCCAAGGGGTAGCACTATTAGAAAATGATAGTGACGGCGGCGACACATAATTTTTAATATTAAGTATATTTTTTTAAATAAACTTCTTAACTTTTAATTGTATTTTATTTATAACACCTAATACACTTCACGAATTCCTCTCTTTTCTTTAACTTTCTTCACACAGGCTTCAAAATAAATTATGGCAAATAAAAAAATTAATAAAATAAAGTTAAATTATATGCGGGCAATAAAAGTGACCATTTTTTTGTTGCAATGTGCACTATGCGCAACATTACCCCCACTACACCAAAACCTTGCCAACTTACGTGCCGCTTACTATACAAACTTATAATTTCAATTAATTATAGTCGAATTTCGACTACCGGGAGACGACTAGTTTCTATAAGTTAAGGACTCAGAACATATTAATTAATGATAATAGTATATCAGAATCATATTGTCATAGTAATATATATCTGATATATCAATAATGATATAATAATAATAATATAATTATAATGATATATTAATGTCAATTATAATCCACTAACAGAGATAGAGCATGCAATTGACAAAGCTGGTGGTGGTGGTGGAGATGAAGAAACATATGAAGAGGCAGCACCCTTACATGGCGATAGATTGTTTCATGCATTTATTTCACGGCTTCGTCAAAATCCAGGACAAATCTTAAGGCAAGTTGTCATAGTATTAGAGAATTATACCCAGATTATTTTAATATTCTTTTGGTTTTATTATATATTACTTATCATTTGACACAACACATATTGTGACAACGTTAAAAATAATTAGAAAACAATATTTACTTAGTAGGTATAAATTATATTTAAAACTACTTTTATAGTTTAATCTGAAAGCTCTAGCAGTTTCTATGACTTAAATACTCAAGATATTGTTAGTAGTTTTGGAGTTAAAAGAAATAAAAAAATCCAGGGGCAAACAAATTGACAGAATAATAAAATGATACTGGCGAGATTAAACCATAAAAGCAGTTATGTTTACGACTTGAGGAATCCATAGAAAAAACTACAGGTATAAATTAAATAAACCAAACATTAAATTATTATCTCCGCTCATGGCTCAGTGTGCTTAGTGCGAGTTTCTTAACGTTCTCGATAGCGTAAAAGTTAGCCAATTGTATGCAGTTGAAACAGCGCCCCTAGCGGCACACATACGCGAACGATCCCATTCCAAACAAATATGAGCTAACTTTTACGCTATCGAGAACGTTAAAAAACTCGCACTAAGCACACTGGTCCCCTGATATTAAATGGTTATTGAAGCTCATATTCGCCATAACTTTTTTTTTTTTTTTTTTTTTTTTATTGCCTTTGTAGGCAGACGAGCATACGGCCCACCTGATGGTAAGTGGTCACCGTCGCTCATGGACGTCAGCAATGCCAGGGGCAGAGCCAAGCCGCTGCTTACCATAAAGAACTCTCCGCAAGCCTCGTTTGAAGAAGGACATGTCATAGCGCTCGGAAAACACCGTGGAGGGGAGTTCATTCCAAAGCCGGATGGTACGTGGCAAAAAAGATCTTTGGAAACGCACTGTCGATGAACGCAGCGGTTCCAGATAATATGGATGAACTCTGCTCCGATGGCGGGAGGTGCGATGATAAAAAGNGAAAGGAATAGAACTGGCTCTCCAACCCACATGCCGGAACACAGCTAGGCTATTTGGCGGCAGACTCTAGTTGGAGGGTGGTCGCCAGCCAGTCGGACTAGGTCCTACCACCGATTGTGTTTTCGGCTCCCGTTTAGCACCACCCAGGGGTTACTTGTAGGGAATCGCGGGTTAAACCTACGGAAGCGGGAAGCATCAACCCCCAAACGACTTAAACGACTTAAACTTAAACGACACCGCCTTCCAAATGAGGTCGATGTCTATTCTGTAAAATTGCCAAGCTACCTCAAACGTATCAATAATTTGCGGTAAAATAAACATTAGAACGCAATATTTCAGGTACTCCCGAGACGAACCGCCCATACTAGGTGCTTCAATATCAAGTTCTGGGACTCCAGATTGCCCTTCCGTCCCAACTATCTGTGATCGATGCGGTTCCAGATTAATTTGCGAATTGCAACTCGTACCAGAATTCGCAGAGGCCCTTCGTTTGCCAAACAACACTGCTCTTGATCATTTACATTTCCTTTCTGTCCTTATATTTACGTGCTCACTGAGTTGCTGGCAACCCAATGATGTCTACATAAAGGAAACAGTAGTCTTCCAACCGGAAGTGATGTGAATATTAATGTTGAGCTTTCTTGTGTGCAATATCACCAAATACAATTGATATTAAATCCAAAACCGGTTTTCATCTTGCGATCTATTTCATTACTTTCGTCGTTTATGCGTGTGTTAGTGTTAAAATATTATATTATGAAATTGTTCAATTGTTCCTTGTATAACATTAGGTTAAGTTAATACGAGATCCTGCCTACCATCAATCTTTTCAGTTCACACACGATTATCTTGATTAACGTATTTTTCAAAAAAAAACGTGGTTAGCGTCGTCGACTTTCGTTTTTTTTTTTTTACCTAGGCTGATAGTCTTGAGAGGCTATACGTAGCGTCAGCGTAACCCATCCATTTTTGTGTGATTCAGAAACAAACAAACACTTTCAAAATGTAATTATTTGTTGCGTAAGGATGATCCATGATTATTTCATCTTTTTTTTTCATGGTCTCTACCTATCTATTCGCTGGTAGCCTAAGAGGCTATTCCAGCTACGCCTGAATTGGTAGGTGAGCTCTCGGGGCTCAAACCAGGAGTCGTTGCTAACACTGGCCCTAGCAAGAGCAGTGCTTCGCAGAATCTACCACCGGATCGGAAACGCGACCCACTCGCGTGGGCTCTGTCAATGGGTTAGTTTACTCGTCGAACCCTTCGTTGCAAGCCACGGGTTCGACGAGAATGGTTCTCGGTGCTTGAGTTACCTAAATCTTCTGCTAGGGCCAGTGTTAACAAGACTTCCGGTTTGAGCCCCGTGAGCTCACCTACATGTTAGGATGAAGCTGAAATAGCCTCTTAAGGCTATCTATCAGCATAGGTAGAAAAAACAAAAAAAGTTACCTAAAAACACCGTTAGTATATCGGGAGGATCCGAAATCGTCTTTTTCTTGGTTAGTCTACCTATAGATGATAACATACTATTACAAACATTTTAAATATATTAAATTGGACAATAAAAATCGTAGCATTGACATCTTTTATAAAAACGCTTTTTCAACTTTTTTTTTTTGGTCGTTTTTTTTGTCCACTGCGACAACGGTTTCTAATATGATTGTAACCACAATTTCCTGATACTTTATCTAAGATTGATAAACTTACCACACATTATACATTATTCGTAAAACATCATAAATGTATCTGTGGTTAATGATGTTAATTTTTTTTTATGTCTGAGAGATTACTATTGGCACGGAGGCCTTTCCAGTTTTACCAGGGCAGGTGGGCGAGCAAGGGCTCAGCCAGGAAGGGTGGGATTTGCTAAAAGCTACCCGAGCGCCTCCAAAGGAGACCTAACAATGCTTCGCGAATGAATCTACTACCAGATCGGAATCGCGACCCGCTAAGAAGATCCGGCGAGAAACTCAGCGGGCTGATGTTTAGGTTAGGTTGCACGTCGAACTCTTTGCCAAGTTTGACAAGTACGGTTACCGGGGTCCCTACTCTTAGTGTTAGAGCTAAAGGTGTCTAATGCAAGGGTTTAACCGATTCCAATAAGGAAGAGGTTTTTCAATTCAGACAGATTTTCTGTTTTGAGAATTTTTTGTTTTGCACTACCAACTTCGTGTGTGCCTCCACTGAATTCAATAGTTTGTAAATTAATACAAGCTACTGCAAGTCTTGATAGTCTGTAGTTTCGCGGATGATGAAAATAACGGTCGAATAGTAAGAAAATTCAATAATTAAAAACAAATCTCTTGCCAGTGGTTATTTGGTCAGCTTCTTCTGGCAATTTTTTTATATTATTTTTTATTTATTGCTTTTGTAGGCAGACAAGCATACGGCCCACCTGATGGTGAGTAGTTACCGTCGCTCATGGACTTCAGCAAATGCCAGGGGCAGAGCCAATCCGCTGCCTACCGATAATCTTCAACCATTAAAAATAATAATACCTAAAAATTTTCATTTATTTAAAAAACTTCAAGCATACACAGAATACACATGAGAAAGTGTTTTGAAAAAATAATATGTATTATCGGTTTTTGTAGGTATATATTCCAATAAAAAAATTCGTTAAGTAACGTTTTACATTATAGATAATAAATTTTCATATTTTAGTCCTAGATTAATCTGTGATCAACTCTAAAGTCCATTTACATTATCTCTAACATAAAATTAAAATAGTTCAAACTAAGTAGTTTTACTGTTGTTAAATGACACCTGAATATTGAAAAGTCGCTTAATTTGACTTTTTATAGTTGAACTAGTTTTATGTACCATTATTTAATATTAAATTTATTATAAATACATATGAAGTGTAGGTTATTATCTATGATTTTTACGGACGTAAGGCAGTAACGCAAAAGACGTTCGAATATTCTGGGCCATTGAATAATAATCCACCAGAAAGCAAGTTTATTAACACTTCTTGAGTAATTTTTTTGTCCTTTTAGCACTTGTTTTAATTATTAGGGTGAACATGCAAATGAGCTCTCAGTCAGACTGGTGTTAAGTTCTCGGAGCTCACTGTGTCGTGCCTTGTGCTCCTGACCTCTGCACAAGATTTCCGGTGTGCTTGTTTCGACATTCACAACACCGGAGATAATTCTAGCCTTGAATCAAAAAGTTTTTTTCTTTCCAAGTATGGTGTCCAGAAATCAGACTTGAACTTTTTACTGAAAAGTACCCACCAAATTTTCTGCATTTACATAAATTAAGGGTTCAACAAATAAATAAAATGTTTCCAATGTAGCATAAGAATTGCCCTGAAATCCGATAAAGGTACAAAAATTAGCAAAATATAGAAGTAATGATATTTAAAGGATGATTGATAAATATTTGTACGATATTTGGATAGTCAATTAAAAAAAACGTTATGAAACTCACGGGACAAAAGTTGAAACTAGTGGAATAAATCAACAACATAGATCAATGCAAAATTTATTAATATTTTTCAAATTAAATTTAACTATTCTAATTTTTTATATCATATTCCATTATTGTTAAATTTTGTGTATGTACTGTTCTCAATGTACTCAAAATAAATTATCTTGTTATTTTTATTTTTGCTTTTATCTGTTATAGTTTTCATAGAACGTTTATTTAAAAACCCAATTTAGTATATAAATAATTGCGTGTTTATTTGTGATATATGCGCTCGGACTTGTGTCTGATTAACATAAAACTTTATATTTTGGTCGCTTCACTGAAAGTTTTCTCTTAGTAAATTAATTAATAACCTGGCCTTTTATCCAAAAAAATGTGCACAGGTTTCTTTTTTAGTACATACCTACTATAAAAATGTCATTATGTATAATAAAAACAAAATAATTTTGCAGTTTTAACGAATGAAACAAAAAGGCATTATTATTAATTTATTTACCATTAGATGACGATGGAACTGATGTAATAAAAGGGTTGTTTTGTAATCTTACTATACTCATTCCACAGCGTACCTCTTTTCAAATTCATAAAAAATTGTAGACGAGCATATTTCAAATGTAAATTTACAATCCAAATATTCAATTACTATATTGCTAGAAATGGGATAAATAACTTGGGACTTGAGTATGTCAATGAGTTAATTTATAAACTATCACTTTGGCCGGGTGTTTCTCTTTTCGTTTATTTCTATCCTGCTGAAACTATTCTAGCCGCTTCTAATACTATTTATTACCAAGGCAACACCATTTGACTGTATTCTGAAATATCAGAGTACCAAAAAAGTAGAAAGTCGAGGCATCTTACATTTTCACAAAATTAACTATGCATGTTATCTCTGCAATAAATGGAAGATATTTACCTTGACCAGCAAAACTAGGGTTCTCGTCTAGTACCTACCTGAATGTAAATTTCAATACAGCCTGTATATGTCAGCTTAAAATGTTGCATACATACTATGTCTAGATATTATAATTAGAGATTATTTTCTAAAATGTTAAAGTTTCTAAAATGCGTCTCTCTGTTGAAGATCTTAAATAAGTAGAATATTTTTTAAAATAAAAAAGTTCAAGCTAGTACGATTATTTTTTTCGTTTAGAAATCAAATTAATTTTATCTTTTTGTGAAATATATGAAAATAAAAAAATACAGATCAAAATTTGCTTATTTTGTGTGTACATAAAAGTCCCAACTTCTATTTTAGGTTCTTGCAGTAAACGAGAACGTGCCGCGACCATTCTGGTTATGGTTCCAGAAATTTACCCTAATTGCATAATAATATTTCATAATTTCATCAATCCAAAAAATAGTTTGGGGTTTTCTCTACATAATATATCTTTCGTAATATTTTAAGAGCAAATGTAATATGAAACGTTATGGAAATGAAATTAGCTATGGAAGAACTTTGAATGAAATGGAATTAAATACGATGGTGTGTTATGGTATGGGATGGTATGATGGATGATACAACACCCTTGTTGAACAAGATTAAATGATCAATTTCTCAGTAAAATTAAGGTTCTTCAATTAAGGGAACTTCAATGGACTTTTTGGAAGAACTCGATGTACTACGTCTAGTGATTTCATCACATTTATGCACATTTGCGGTGCTGAACGATTAATACACGATTATCATTACACTTTTAAATCCGAATTTATATAAAAAATAAAATATAAAACCACTTGTTATTTAAATATAAGTTGCATTCGCGCCAAAAGTCAAGTGTCAAGTGAGTGACAAACAAAAATTTATCTTGGAAAATCAATGTTGCCAGGTTGACAAGTCATAGTTTCATCATTGCCATCGTTTAATTTCAAAAATGTATTCTAATTTATTGTTACTATCGTAGTCCATAGGCTATTGTGTTTATAGCAGTCTTCACTAATTAAATAATTATTTTCAACACACAAATGAATAGATGCATAGTCATTCATTTCAATACATAAGGTAGTTCATTACTAAGCTGTTTAGGTTGAGACAAAAAATTACTTTGGAATATCAGTGCGGGTTAGGAGTGAGGATACAGTACTAACCATAGGTAGTTGAAGAGTGGAAGCATCATCTTGTGATTAATTCACCATTAACTTTTAAAATAATTTCCCACTACTCATGGGCATCAGAAGTGTCAGGGGCACAGCTGATTGGGTCGGATGGAAGAAGCTGCCCTAGATGGCTATCGTTCCAATGAACGATGTACACAGGATAGAATAATTTTAGTTATAGAAATAATTGTACTATAAAGTTAAGTACTTAGATGAATAAACACGTCGTATTCAATGCCCTAAACAAGTCATTACGGATCCTCCCGATCCATTAACGGTGCTTTTAGGTACCTCAAGCACCATTCACGGTCCTCGTCGAACCCGTCGCTTGCGACGAAAGGCTCGACGAGTGAATTAACCCATAGACACAGCCCACTGAGTTTCTATGTAGTTCTATGTAGTACATACAGTATTTCTATGTAGTCTGTGGGCGAATCTAATCTAGAAGTTTCCCACCTCTTTAGTATATAAATTAAAAAAAATTAAAAATAGTTCCAGTCAAATATTCTGTAAAGCCGTGCGTTACTTAAAATATAATGTCTAGCGAAATTTCAGTTCCACCGCCAGTATTATGGGCACAACGAAAGGAAGATGTTTTTCTTACATTTAGTGTGGAAACTAAAGATCCGACGATCAAAATAGAAAAGGATTCAGTGTATTTTAGAGGTGAAGGTGCGCCGGATAATAGACTACATGAGGTAACGATAGCACTGTACGACACTGTTCTTCCGGAAAAGAGTGTTTTTGTAAATAAGGGCAGATGTGTGGAGATGATATTACGGAAAGAAAAAACAGATGGTCCATTCTGGCCGACGCTAACAAAAGACAAGAAAAAGCCGCATTACCTGAAAATTGATTTCAACAAATGGAATGATGAGGATGATGAAGTTGAAGAAAATAATTCATATGATTTCGAGCAAATGCTCCAGAACTTTGGTGGAGCTGGTGGTCCTGGGCAGAAGGCAGAAAAACCTTCGTTTGATGACTTGGAAACTGACTCTGATGATGAGAATTTACCTGATCTGGAATAAAATGACATTAAAAAAGTACAGTAATGTTACTTTTAAGGTTTTTCTAGTTTTAATAAAATGCCTGTAAACGCTGTGTTTATCTTAATTAATACCTACCTGACTTCTATCATATAAGATCAAATGATAAATTTTATAGCAAAATTAGAATGATTTCTTTTTTAAATATCAATGTGGTTTTGATTTTCACTTTGTAGATTAAGTTTAACGTTTCACTATTGCAGCAAATTCATTTAAAACCAAATGATTCAATAATAAAACATAAAGACGGGGTTCATGATCCAATAGGTACTTACTAAAACTTAAATGACTAGCTTTCTGCCTGCAAGGAACAGACTACGCTTTATATCGCTTGGTCAGAAACCTGTGCTTAGCAATGGGAAAAAAGGTGTTCTATATTATTTCTCAGGGCTCTTTCCGTGCTGAATTATATCAAAATTAGATCAGTAATTAGGGTGAAAAAATGTTATGGGTTACTTACTTATAGTGTAATCCTAATCTACCATCCTAATCCACCTAATCTAAAAGGCAGTCTGACAGTGGTTGCTTTTCTTCCAGCATTGTTTAATATAAAAGAGGCCAATTATTAAAACTCCATTTTAGTGATTATTTTCAATTTTCAAAAAAATCACTTATATTGATTTAGTTTTAGATATCTAGCTTCTAAAATGCTGGTGATCTATATCAATCTATGCATTGAATTTGTGGTAACCCAGAGCATTAGGGTACTTGGTATACTCATCAAAGAAGCAACTATTAGACATTCAAATATGGAGAGGTACCACTTTTTGTAAGGAAATATATACTTAACACATGTTTATGAAAAACTTCCATGATGATGAGTAATACTGTTAAATAAAAATGAAAACTGCATAAATGTATAAGGTGTAATTACTGATGGGTGTACTGCCTATGTCCAGCAGTGGACATCTGTGGGCTGATAAGAAGAAGTACTGTAAGCCTGCGCAGGTACCACCACCTTTCTCATATCTTCTTTGAAGCAGTCATGCATTCATAATTGAAGATTAACATAAATACTATATTTTACAATGTAGATTTTGACCTCATGTCTCAACATGAGGGGCAGCATTCACATTGTTGTACCTATGTGCTCTGGGAATTATCACTAAGTGGAATAGCTTGTTCACCCAACTATCTCTTTTTGGCTTAAGCATGGGTCATTCTTGACTTTTATCGTAATTTTGTCGACCAAATGTATTTCAAAAACCTATCAACTTATTCACCAAATTCATAACCGATCGACAAAAAAAAATTATACTGGGTTCTAATACCTTCATGACCATAAGGGTAAAATGTAATTATTTTAATTTTTAGTTCGGCTTTATGAAGTCATCGTGGCCTAAAAGATAGGACGTCCGGTGCATTCGTATCTAGCGATGCACCGGTGTTGGAATCCCGCAAGCGGGTACCAATTTTTCTAATGAAATACGTAGGTACTTTAGAAATGTTCACGATTGACTTCCAAGGTGAGGGAATAACATCGTGTAATAGAAATCAAATCCGTAAAATTATAATTTGCGTAATTACTGGTGGTAGAACCTCTTGTGAGTCCGCACGGGAATGTACCACCACCCTGCCTATTTCTACCGTGAGGCAGTAATGCGTCCCCCGTTATGACTTGCGCGAGTGCGGTGTTCGCTCACGAAGCCCGCACATACATAGACACCCTCGAATCTCTACAGTCCCGCTTTTGCAGGATAACCGTCGGAGCTCGGTGGTTCGTGACTAACGTTGACCTACACGACGACCTGGGCTTCGAATCAATCCGGAAATACATGAAGTCAGCGTCGGAACGATACTTCGATAATGCATAAAGACTGCGTCATGATAATCTCCTTATCGTAGCCGCCGCTGACTACTCCCCGAATCCTGATCACGCAGGAGCCAGTCATCGTCGACGCCCTACATGCGTCCTTACGGATCCGTCAGATCCAATAACCTTTGCATTAGACGCCTTCAGCTCTAACACTAGGAGCAGGCTTAGGAATCCCGGTAACTGTACTCGTCGAACTCGACAAAGAGTTCGACGTGCATCCTAACCCATGCATCAGTTCGCTGAGTTTTTCGCCGGATCTTTTCAGAGGGTCGTGATTCCGGTCCGGTAGTAGATTCATTCGCGAAGCAGTTGCTCTTGAGTTGTTAGGTCTCCTTCGGATGCGCTCGGGCAGCTGCTAGCAAATTCCACCCCTCCTGACGGAGCCTTTGCTCGCCCACCTGTCCTGAAACTGAAAAGGCCTCCGGGCCACCAGTAAACCCTCAATCATAAAAAAAAGTGATGCGTTTCGGTTTGAAGGGTGGGGTAGCCGCTGTAACTATACTAAGACCTTAGAACTTATATCTCAAGTTTGGTGGCGCATTTACGTTGTAGATGTATATGGGCTCCAGTGGTGGTAGGACCTCTTGGGAGTCCACACGGGTAGGTACCACCACCCCGGCTATTTCCGCCGTGAAGCAGTAATGCGTTTCGGTTCGAAGGGTGGGGTAGCCGTTGTAAATATACTGAGATCTTAGAACTTATATCTCGAGGTGGGTGGCGCATTCACGTGGTAGATGTCTATGGGCTCCAGTAACCACTTAACACCAGGTGGGCTGTGAGCTCGTCCATCCATCTAAGCAATAAAAAATAAAAATAAACCCACTTAACACCAGGTGGGCTGTGAGCACGTCCACCCATGTAAGCAATAAAAAAACCTTATTCATTAAAACTTTTTTTTTAAACCTCATTTCATTTTAATTTTTGCGTCGTTTGTGGGGATCAATTCAGATGCCCGGTGTTAAATGAATACCGGTACCCATCGTCATTATAATGTCGATGACACTACACATCGTTATGTTGAATTCTCGATGGCATAATCTAATAGCTCCTCCATCTTTCACACCTGCTGCTTCGCAACAGTAACATGCAGAATGGTAGCACCCAACCATGCAGGCTCACACGCTATATCTTCAATACTTCTTAATGATACCATTTTATAGCTTCGTATCTTTGCAAACCAAAATGGAGTTTATTAACCTCTGTCTGTCGGGACTTAGCACTCGATCAATGTCTACGGTTATTCATCAGAAGAAATAACTTCGCGAAGTTTTTTATAACACACTAGCTGACCCGACAGACTTCGTAGTGCCTCAAACGATAAATAAAACACCTAAACTTTTATATAAAATAAACTTAAAACAAACAAAAGGAATCCGTCCGACGGGGGACACATCAAAGGAAAAACAAAATTGTTATTTTTATTTAATTCCGAGTATTTTCATATTACTTTACCTTTTAAACCTCTCTGGACTTCCATAAATAATTCAAAACCAAAATTAGCCAAATCGGTCCAGCCGTTTTCGAGTTTTAGCGAGACTAACGAACAGCAATTCATTTTTATATGTATAGATAGATAGATTAGCCGTCAAAACTCACTGTTGGTGGAAACGAAATAAGGACAACACCTGTTGGAAGTATAAATGATTATATATTATAATATTTATAATTCATAAATAAACAATATCATGAAAGTTGGTAATATATTGGAATAGGGAGTGAGATAGAATCATTGGCAGAGTCCCCTGAGTTTTATATTGGTATATTTTTTACATAGATATTATCCTTTTTGTTTACACCATCAAGGAGTTCTTACAACCACTGGTCGCTGTACAGTGTCATTACAAATTTAATGAAAGTCCGTAAAATAAAAATCTAATATAGATACATGCAAAATAAACGTTTATTTTGTTTTCTCAGAAAGTGATATGGAGACGCTAAACAAATGAAATTGTTGACCGTGCCTTCGTATATTTAGAGTCATCGTTATGCAGTATATAAGTCTGTTAAGGCTCTCACATTTCAAAATGTATGCTGCTCCTCTACCCGGACAGAAAACTGGTGCTCCGTAGCTTTGACAGTCAAACATAAAATAAGAATTTCCACTCTTGCCAAAAGCTAAATTTTTTGCTGGACTGATTAGTAACCCCTGATTGCTTTTCTCAAAGAAGTAAACCAATGCTTTGCTCAAATTAAAACGATCCGGTAATAAATTATAGAAAAATCCGAATATGATATTTTCAAATTTAACGGAAAATGAATATGGAAACATATCCTCGAATTTACTATCCAAATCGTTTACGTTCAATTCATAATTGGGTTTATTTCCGATTTTATTTAAACAACTTTTGTGATATTTATCTCCAATCTCTACAATTCCATCGAGAAAGTTACTAGTCCAGGCACTTATGTTGCAAGCTTGAACCATGACGAGTGCTATAACACACGTCGCGAGGTACTGTTTTCCTCTGTGGTCTTCATCGAATTTCGTATCCATAAGATGAAGTGTTCCCCACAACGAATACAAATCACCAGGAAATTCTATGTCCCAATCTTTCCACATGGTCTTGGGAGTTTTCCGTTCAAACCCTAAATCGTTAAGTGAGTTCATTCTAGACCATGGTAGCATTTCAATATTCAACCAATACATTTTCTCGTCAACCAATGGCCGATTCTTCCTACGTTTAAGATACGGTAAATTTGGATTGTTGTCAGGTTTGAATAATGGGCTAAGTCTATAGTTTAGGGCTGAATGCCGTGGGGCAGTTTTAACTGACGTCAATTCAAAGGTATAAAATTCAGGTGTATCGATTGCCTTTCCGAATGATGATTTCTTAATTCGGCGTATCAATGCATCCATAGTTCGATACAAAGTCCACGATGCCACGGGACCGGGTTTCTTCTTATCCTCTTGAACAGAATCGGTTTCCTTCACAGCCGGATCGTCACTTGGAGGCGAATAGGGATCAAAAAGATGAAAATATCCTTCTGTTTGACATACTACTATACTACATTGAGGAAATCTAACAATAACGTACCGAAGTCGTCTCAAGACCGCTTTCAAGTATTGCTCTAACTTTTTTTCTGGATTTTCATTAATAACTATTATCTTTTTTATATTTATATTAATAAATTTACCATCCACTATAATGTTTCTGATTACGCGTTTTTCACAAACACCAAGATTAGTCGCTTTTTCGTATATTTCAAGACCTTTTTCAAGACAGGTGTCTACCACAACA